GGCGACTTAGAAGTGCGGTCTTATACAAGGAAGCTGGTAAGGCTTAGTTGAACAAGTTCTGGGATGAACCTAGTAGATTAAAGTAAAGTCTAAGTACAATAATCTGTCTACTTATATGTGCTACATATAGGTATTCTAGCTCAGTCTGTAATCTATAGTATATCTAGGATCTATGATAACAAGACATGAGGTTCAGATATGATACATGAGGCTTAACCTCTGATCAGACATGCAGCGCCAAGTGCGACTGCGCATAGGTACATGAGGCACCAAGGGCGCTCTGGATCTTCATGAAGCGACATGCTGTATACATGCGCTTGATCTAGGGTGACCATGAGGCGCACAGCCTCCATGGATCAGGTACAAGGCCGTCTAGGCCAGGGGCGGGGTCATAGTGCCAGGCGGGGTCATAGCGGTCCAGACCGCTGTCTTTCTAGGCGCGGACGGCGCACCGCCGCGCGGGGGATCTAGCAGAGCGGGGGCAGGCATAGGCAGAGCTGGGGCTCCTGTAGGTGTTACGGATGCCTGTAACAGGATGGGCACCACGTGTTGGGGATGACTGAGAGCACAGAGATCAGCACAGGAACTATCTAATAGATGATTACACACATCATTGGCTTCCTCAAAAAACCTCGGTGAGAGTTCATCAACGTCGCCAAACTCGTGATGATATCGTGTAGCATCAACCTGGGATGTCAATGTTATGATAACTGAGAAGAATCTGAATACCTGATGTACTTGGAAGAAAGACTTGTCACTGAGTGAAGAACGGGAGGTGCCAGTGCGCTCTATTCCTGAATTGCCTTTAGACTCGAATGCTTCCTGTTCAATTATTTCTTTTGGTGCCTACAGCAGGCAATATTGTCGGTGAGAGAGAGTCAGTGATATGTTGATACTCACAATGTCGGTATCAACAGGCAGTAGTTCTTCAAGACTGGCTTCTTTGAGGATGGCGTGAATGTCCCATGTATACACGTTTGCGTTTTGGCAACCGGTGGCTAGCAGCTTTCCATCAGCGGAAAGGGTTGCGCATTTTATGACAACTTTGTGCTGGAGGAGTGGTCCGACTGGAAGGTTTGTGTCGAGATTCCATAGGTGCACTGTTTTATCATCTGATGCACATAGAAGGCGGTTGTTCCGAGACAAGGTGATAGCGGCTTTGGCTAAGACTGTGTCACCTTTCAGTTTGGCAATCTGCTTCCAAGTCATTGTGTCATATATCCTAATTGGGTCATAGTAGTATGATCCAGAGATAAGTTTATTTCCGTCCGACGTCCAGGCCAAGCTGAGAACCATGAAGTCATGTTTGAGCATGTTAAGCAGCTTGCCCGTCTTGGCATTCCAGATTTTGACTGCATTTTCTTTGCTTCCGCCTGTTGCAATTTTTGCTGCATCGGGCGAGTATATCACTGCCCACACCCAATCGTGCCCGGTTTTGATTGTCAGCACAGTTTTGCTGCTCTCGACATCCCGGACTCTTGCCGTCCCATCCCAGGATCCGCTCAGCACTCGTTTACCATCTCCACTCCAGCACAATGCACACACAACATCGATGTGTCCTGACCATTTGGCGATAACCTTCCGGGTCTTGACGTCCCATAACTTCACTTTCCCGCTACCGCATCCACTTGCAATTGTCTTGCTATTTGGAGACAATGCCATGGACCACACTCCTGACTCATCTTCCTCATCTCGCCAGTCCTCTCCTATCTGTGTGCCGCTTTCTAGGTCCCATAGTCGCAATGAGCCATCCATTGAACATGTGATGATCTGCCGTCGGGCATGCAGATGAACAACACTGTTTACCCAGCTGGTATGACCTCGCATTGTCTGAAGTGGCGTGATATCTGGCATCTTGATGGTTGAGAAAGACATGGTCGGCACTCGTTATTTCAACCACGGCAGATTGGGGAATATGTATGCAAGAGAGGCGGGATCTTGGAATCAGATTGTGTTATCTGGCAACAGAAATAATTGCAGGTGAGTCCTGTCTTTGTCACCTTACTTCGTTTCAGAGCACACAAGTGATTGCTAATAAGACAGCTCACTTATGGCTCCACTCAGACATCAGAAATCAGAACTCAGAACTCTAACTTTAGGACTATCTATGGAGGACGTGCTGCGTTGTTATTGAAGAAATCAGAAAGTGCAAGAAATCTTCGTGGGTATTCAAAGTTGCTGGTACTAGTAAGCATATCATCAGTTGTATACTGTAGCCAACAATATCGCTTACGAGAAACGCCGAAACTTTAGGCTCACTCACCAGCGATCAGAGGGCGTCTGGTTGGGAGTTGAGGAAGTTGGCCACTCATTTGTTCAAGTCGTCTTTTAAGGTCCATCCCATGCGCAAAACTCGTGTCCGTTTCACAGCTCATTGCTGTGTAGATCAAGCGCTCAGGTCTGCCACCAGTGCTGTACAGATGTGTAGAGTTAAGATTCGAGCGGGAGACGTGCGGACGCTATAACAGAAGGTAAATCTCAGTTTCTCCAGAAGAACTCTTATTAACGATTCTATGTACCTATAACAGAAGGTAACTACAAGGCGTTAGACATGGTAGGTGCCGGGTACAAATGTTTACTCACATCTCAGTTTCTCCAGAAGAACTGAGATGCTCGTACGCTACAGACGCTGCTTATAAGGTGAGTACCTTGGTTACATGAATATTGACAAAAAGATGGAAACTATTTTGTAGGACGTGAGCCGATGTCACTTGTCGTACGTCTGCGCCCAATAGGGCATGCGCTCGTAACTCTCATTCTCCCCTCGTCACTATCTCGGATCTTTCGGCGCTCGACGACTCGGATCGTTCGGCAATTATTTCTAATTTATCACCCACTACCTGGTAAAGTATCCTAGTTTTTGTACTTGGCTCGACTCATTGTTTACAATGATCGTGCATGGACGATACATTTGTATGTTCATCTCAGATCCTCCTGGTTGATGCACATTGTCAAGACGGCCACATTTCACTCGTACAGGAGTCTTTTCTTTGTCCTGCTATGACTGATTCAATACTCTTAATCTGTCTTTAATCAAAAGGAGGGCCATCTGCATGCAGGGAGAAGAATGAAAGAATCTGTAATGGAACTAAACTGTGGCTATGCGCTTGCTGCACCTGGCGCAATAGTGTGAGTACTATCAAGAGTAGTAGGTGTCGCGGACGTTGAGGGGGCGGCAGGATGACTCTGCGATGACAACGCCTGGGTATGGACTTGGCATTGTGGTTGACCTTCCTGCTGTATTGGTTGTGCATTTACATTGGCGTGCCGAGGTGACACGCAGCAGAGAAAAAGCACAAGATGACCCAATAATCGGACAGGTAGTGGGTATTTGGGACGTGATGTAGTAGGACCAGTACCTGAAGCAGGCTGTGTCGTGGATAATTCCTGAGCGTGCGATTGAGTTTGTTGCTGTGCTTTTTCTGGCGGCGGGGGAGCAGTGAATATAACCTGAACAGAGATGATTAGACAATGGCGATGGGAAATGCACGCAAAGATGTGTACCTCTCTGTCCTTTACTGCAGCCACTTCGACAATACGAGGCCCGCGAGATAATAAGGCTCGCCTTGAGCGTTGCTGGGGTTCAGTATTGAATTGAGACCGGCGGAAAAACAATGAAAGGCGACCGAAGAGTATACTGACACTCCCAAAAGAGGATGCGAGAGGACGGGGATGGTGGGAAGAGGAAGGGTGATAGTTACTATACGTTCTGAAAGACTGAGATCAAGAGGTCAGCGCTGGAACCGATTAAAAACGCTGATGACGCACATTAGCACCACCTGTGGCATCGTTGAAAAAACCTAGCAAAAATTGACCATCCGTAGCAGCCACCTAAATAGAATATCCAGATTACAACTGGGAAGGTCAAGAAATGGATCACGCACATCCATTACCTGCGAGGGGGATATTAGCATAATTTTGACTGAAGAACCATGAGCCTTACATCAGATGGAGGAGGAAGGAGGTCTTCAAGGCCAGCTTCTTCGAGGATTGCTTGAATGTCCCACACGTATGCGTTTTTGTTTTTGCAACCAGTGACTAACACTTTTCCATCATTGGAAAGGGCTGCGCAGATTATTTCATCTTCGTGCTGGAGGGGTAGACCGACTTGTAAATTCGTGTCAAGATTCCATAGACACACTGTTTTAGATGCATGATCTGATGCACATAGAAAGCGGTCGTTCTGAGACAAGGTGATGGCTTTGACCAAAAGTCTGTCACCTCCCAGATGGGCGATCTCCTGCCAAGTGGTTGTGTCATATATCCTAATTGGGTCGTATGATCCGGAGATAAGTCTCTTTCCGTCCGACGTCCATGCCAAGCTCCGAACAATGAAGTCATGTTTGATCGTGTTAAGCAGCTCGCCCGTCTTTGCATCCCAAATTTCGACTGCATTCTCGTCCGTTCCACCGGTTGCAATTTTTGCTGCATCGGGTGAGTAGATTACCGCCTTCACCCAATTGTGGCTGGTTTTAATTGTCAGGACAGTTTTGCCGCTCTCGACATCCCAGACTCTTGCAGTCCCATCCCAGGATCCGCTCAGCACTCGTTTACCACTCCAGCATAATGCACCCACGACATGAGTGTGTCCTGACCATTTGACGATAACCTTCCTCGTCTTGACGTCCCATAACTTCACTTTCCCGTCATTGCATCCACTTGCAATTGTCTTGCCATTGGGAGACAATGCCATGGAACGCACTCCTGCCCCATCCTCCTCATTTCGCCAGTCCTCTCCGATCTGTGTGCCGCTCTCTAGGTCCCATAGTCGCAGTGAGCCGTCCACCGAACATGTGATAATCTGTCGTCCGGCATGCAGATGTACAACACCGTTTACCCAGTCGGTATGACCTTGCAACGTCTGACGTGGCTCGATCTCTTGCGTCTCACAACTGGAGGAAGACATGATCAGCGCTCCGAGTCAGTATCTCGAGTACAGTAGATTGGGGACTATACGTATGGAGAGAGGCGGGATCTTGGAATCGGATCGCGTTATCTGGCAACAGCAGTAATTGCTTGTGAGTCCTTTTTTTTCTTGTCAGAGCACGCGAGTAATTGCTAATAAGATGGCCCACTTACAGGCCCACTTCTTGCTCAAAACTCTCACTTCGGGACTATCTATGGAGGGGGTGCTGCGTCGTTACTCGAGATATCAGAATGTGCAAGAGATTTTGTGGACATCCAAAGTTGCTGGCAAGCATCTGGTCAGTTGTATCCTGCAGAAAAGCTGACAATATCACTTACGTGCAACACTGTTTAGACGATCCTTCGCTCACCAGCGATCTGAGGGCGTCTGGTCGGGAGTTAAGGAGGTTGGGTACCCATTCGTTCACGTCTTCTCCTAAGGTTCATTCCATGCGCGATCCTCGGGTTCGTTTCACAGCTGATTGCTGTGTAGATCAAATGCTTGGCAGGCCTCAGGCCTCAGGTACCAGTGCCTGTGTGAATGTTCCTATACGTAGTACGGACTAGGTTAGGGTGGCCACTCAACATGTTCCAACTCGATGCCATCAACATGCAGGCAGAGTAGTATGCCAGTAGTATCACTATCAAGGACGGAGCTGTCGTCTACCAAGGAATTCATGGTGAGTGTCACTACTTCGCACACGCATTTCCTCTCCACCTCAGGACGAAGTCACTTTGCTTCATACGAAAGTCGACAGTCCGCTGTATCACAGACCTGTTATCTAGCCACATCCTTTTCACCTTCTCACTCCGTAAATTCTAACTCTCGCTCTAACCCAAAGGGCAAACCATCATTACACCATTTCAGCTTGGGTTTCATGTAGACCTGGTGTGGCTTAAGCTTCAGTATGAAGCTAATATCCGAATTTATTCGATAAGGTCTACAAGATGATTTTGATTTTGGTGGTGTGTGCATTCTCTCATGGTTGCATGTAGAGGAGCGCGATCATGACGTTGCTACAGTGCATTTGCAATCAATCCTTTTCTCAGAAAACAATATATCACCTTGGTCATGAATATTGAATGGCAAACTTGATGCACGAAGAAGAGTGAAAGTTTACATGAATGAAATTTCGTGGCAACGTTGAACGCTGCGTACTCGTCTTAGTGGAGACTGCATATCCAGGACAACTCTTTCACTAGTAAATCGACCTGGCAGGGTCCGACTTGCTCCACACAAGGCAGTGACAACCCATTGCATACGAGCATGTCATCTTCCCTGTACTGACGCCAAATTATCTACTCTCCTTCCGAATTTCATCATGGTATCCAATTTTTTCTGTTACAACGGAAAAGAAAACAGTGACACGAGCGATCAAGCTGTCCTTCGCTCACAATTTAGCATTCTCAAGTCCGATGCACTACACAACTCTCGTGAAAAACATGAGCAGAGATGAGAGTAAGTGGAAGCATGAAAGAAAAACGCTGCACCCCGTCATGTGGGGGAGGTGTATAGTAAAGAAGAAGTACAAGAGGAACCTACAATGGGTCTGGACTAGGGTAGTGACTGCGCGGTTGCTCCACTTACTGTGGTAATATGGATACCTGAACCAGAAAGGTGTGGTGGACGATGAGGTGGCGCTAGCTGGGATTGCGACAACGAAGCCTGGTTGTAAGTCTGCTTTGCCATTGCTGTTGCGTTCGATTTATTGATCGTAGTGCAACAAACATTACCTGAACAGAAATCATCAACCGCAGCGATAGGAAATACACGCGAAGGAGTACGTACCTTTCTGTATTGTGCTGTAGCAAGCTCGACAACGCAGGGACCGCGAGTAACTATGGTCCGTCTTCTTCGAGAGTTCGGTTGCCTGGACCATCGGTATTGTGGATGTCTATATATGAGCAGACTCGAGCTTTAGACCAAGTCTATGCTCCTCGTGCAGAGTATATTTAAACCAGTTCCGGTATATCATCATATATAACAAAAAATCACTACGAAATCAACCTAGCATGTTGAAACTAGCCAGGCAGCATGCATGACTTACAGGAAATGCGATTGGGGTGTGCATGTACAGCTGGGGGAGGGAGCGATTCAATCCGAGGCAGGATATTGTAAATACTTACTATGGGGTACCCGAGGAATAGATGCAGACGGGATAAATACTGCACGAGGTGTGCAACACCAGGATTTGCAGACAGGACATGCATCGAGCAACTGCTTGAGATTAAAATCGAGACTTCACTTATAACGTTGAAAGCAACCTGAAATTGAGAAGGTCGTGGAAATAAAATACATACACTCAGCATGAACAATGAGATAACAAAAGTTGCAAAAGAACCAGATGGCAAAGATGAGATAGTTGTCTATATTTCACCGTGTTAATGCACGGCAGAAATCGAACGAAACGAGTCTGCAATGAAAGGGGGTGTGGCTACGCGCTTGCTGCACCTGGCGCGAGAGTGTGGATACTATCAAGAGCAATAGTCGTGGACGTCGAGGGGGTGGTAGGCTGAGCTTGCGATGATGACACCTGGGGCTGTGCTTGACCTGTAGATTGATCTTGCTGCTGCTGCGTTGGTCGTGCATTGGCATCGGCGTGTTGAGGAGGCGCGCAGCAGAGCAAAAGCACCAGATGACCCAACAATCGGACAGGTAGTGGATACGCATATCTTGGGCGTGATGCAGTAGAATTAGCACATGGAACAGGCTGTGTCGTGGATGACCCCTGGGCGTGCGGTTGGCTTTGCTGCTGTGTTTTTTCTGGCGGCGGCGGAGCAGTATATATAGCCTGGACAGCAATCATGAAACCACGATGATAGGAAATGCACGCGAACAACTACATACCTCTCGGTCCTTCACTGGAGCAACTTCGACGATGCGAGGACCATGATGCAATAAGGGCCGCCTTGGACGTTGCTGGAGTTCAGTTGCTTTATTAGTCTTGGAGTGAGAGCGGCGGAAAAGCGACAAAAGGCGATCGAAGAGCGTGTTGACACTTCCAAAAGAGGGTACGAGAGGGCGAGGACGGCGGGAAGAGGAACGGGGATAGTTACCGTATGTCCTAGTAGAGGACTGAGATCAAGAGGTCAGAACAGGAACGATTAAAAACGCTGATGACGCACATTAACACCATCTGTGGCATCGTTGAAAAAATCTGGCGAAAGTTCATCATCCACGGCCTGCATAGCATCCGCCTAGATAGAATATCGAGGTTACAACCATTGGGAAGGTTGAGAAACAAATCACGTACATCAGCTGCAACCTGCGAGTGGGAGATTAGTGTAGGTTTGACTGAAAAACTACGAGAATTACATCAGATGAAGGTAGGAGGTCTTCAAGGCCAGCTTCTTTGAGAATGGCGTGAATATCCCATGTGTACACCTTTCCCTTTCCGCAATTAGTGACTAGCAGCTTTCCATCAGGCGAAATTGTTGCGCAGCGCAAGCAATCTTCATGCTGGAGGGGTGGACCGATTTGGTGTTCGGTTTTAACGTCGAGATTCCATAGACGCACTGTTGTATCGAGCGAAGCACTTGCAATGAAACGTTCATTCTGAGATAGGGAGATGGTGGTGATACAGTCTGTGTGACCCTGAAGGTCAGCGATCACTTCCCAGGTGGCTGTGTCAAATATCCTAATTAGGCGATATGAACCAGAGATAAGTTTCTTGCCGTCCGACGTCCAGGCCAAGCTAAAAACAGCATCATGTTCGAACCCGAGCCTGTCAAGCAGCTCGCCCGTCCTGGTATCCCAGATTTTGACTGCATAGTCGTAGTCTCCACCGGTTGCAATTTTCGTTGCATCGGGTGAGTATATCACCACGTTCACCCAGATGTGCCCAGTTTTGATTGTTAGGACAGTTTTGCCGCTCTCGACATCCCAGACTCTTACCGTCCCATCCGAGGATCCGCTCAGCACCTGATTACCATCCGCACTCCAGCACAATGCACATACAATATTGGTGTGTCCCCACCATTTGGCGATAACTTTCCTCGTCTCGATGTTCCGTAACCTCACTTCCCCCTTACCGCATCCACTTGCAATTATCTTTCCGTTTGGAGACAATGCCATGGACCGCACCCCTGTGCTCCTTCTCCGGCAGTCACCTATCAGTCCGCCGCTCTCTAGATCCCATATTCGGAGATAGTCATCTGAATCTATGATGATCTGTCGTCCGGCACACAGATGTGCAACACCATAAGCTATCCAGCTGGTATAAACTTGTGGCACCTGACGTGGTATGGTAACCAACATATCTTGAACCTCAGTACTGGCGATGGATTGCGTCTCAGTACTGGCGATGGATTGCGTCTCAGTACTGGTGGTGGATTGCGACTCAGTGCTGAAGCAAGACATAGTGGGCGCCCAGGGTTGTAGCGCTCCGCTACAGCAGATTGCAGCCTGATATATGCAAAAGAAATCTGCCGAGATCTTGAATTATCGGGCAACAGTATGGTTCCTAGTGAGTCGGCAGGCCTATCTCATTGTCGTCAATATGAGTACACGAGGCATTGCTCGTGAGACAGCCTGCCAACAGAAATTCAATTCTCACCTACAAGACAACTTCGGTACAATATATGCCCGGTATTTGAGAATGCAAAAAATCCTTGTGTGAATCCAAAGTCGCCTTGCGAACCCTCGATCAGCAATCGCAGGGTGTCTGGCCGGGAGTTGAAGAAGTTGGGCACTCGCTCGCTCAAGCCTCTTTTGAGCTTCTTCACATGCTTCATCCTCGTGTTCGCTTCACAGCTTATTGCTGTGTAGATCAAGCCCTTGATCAAGTGCTATGTCCACCTTCCTATACGTAAGGACTAGTACATCAATGATTGTCGCACAAATTCGACAAGGTGCTGTACTCCTCCCCCACTCTACACGTCTCATCCGGCCTGTTTTGAACTCGATGTTCAAGTTAGCACGTTTACGGGTTATAGGGCAGCACTTATCTCCAGGATGGACTTATTTATTTTCAGCCTCTCTCACGCTATAGCTATTAGCTAAGCCATTGACTGTGTCAATTTGAATTAGGGCATGATAAGTTAGGGCTGTATGTTTACTGTATGTAGTCACAAGCTGTCAGCTTTACTGAAGTCACTGAGCCGAACGCTCATTCTCCTAGTACCCATTCAAGACTACTTATTGTTTCTACCTTCTCGCCCACTATCCGGAAAAATTCCCTAGCTTCTGTACTGCTCGACTTATTCTCTACAATGATCGAGCATGGACGATACATTCGTATGTTCATCTCCTGGTTGAGGCGCATTCTCAAGACGGCTGCATTTCACTCGTACAAGAGTCTTATCTATGTCCTGCTGCGACTGATTCGACACTCCCGATCTGTCTTCAATCGAAGGGAGGGGGATTTTCAACAACGGTCCGGTTCAGCATTGAGCTCTCAGCCAGTGATCAACCAAGACGAGACGCCTTCGGCGACCCTCGCTGTGCCATTGTTCAAAGTACCTCCACAAAGCCAAGGGTGCCAACCTGGAATGAGCCTTCAGTCACCAACTGGCGGCGAGCTTAATGCAAGGCTCAATAACGTAGCTTATAATACACAGTCTACCGGGATGTCTTCTGCGCCGTTGATACTTTCTATGCCTGAGCCCAGCGTTTGCAACCTTGTGGATGCGGGGACACCACTTCCTGCGGCTCCAGGACATGTTATCACTCTAGTTCCCATTGTACCCGGACCACAGGTCAGGCGATATGACAGGCATATTCCAGTGTAGGCAAAATGTATTTTAATCGAGTTGCTGTTCTAATCCATGGTCGCAGTAAAAATGCGTATAAAGCTTTCAAGGTTGAGAAAGGTCCTTTCAACTGTTCCGAGTAAGCATGCTAGCGAGAGAACTAGCGATGTGATTGAAATGGGCCTGTAGGATGCCTGCCACTGCAGCAGGATGGGAGCCACTCACACACCCAGAAGGGGCTTTGTTCTTCTATTATCCGAAACAAGTACGTTCACCGCTTACTCCTACAAGGCTTAAAGCACTCATACCGCGCACAAGAGAGCTTTCACTGATGCCGATGTTCGAGACCCTAAAATTGCTACCAAAATAGGTGAAGCCATCGAGAAGGCGTATAGAGAAATGCACAAAGAGAACATCTGCATACATCCACTCGTCGAGCTAGTGTTGGAGCTTATCAAGACTGATGACGGAGAAACGTGGGGCTACTACTTCGCCGATCACGACGGACGCGTCGTCTTCTGGTTCGAAGACCACACATCTGATCCCCTTATGAACAAAATTCGAGGTGTAGAGTGTAAAAGCCATATCAGTAAGTTCTTTTCCTGGATTACTTTCTATTCGAGCTTCTGTAATTGCGTCGTTCCAGGGTATGCACTAGAATCGCAGTACTGGTTCGCACGATTCTTAGCAGTATGCCCATTCCCTCGCGATCTAAGCACATGCGCTCACACAATTTTACAGTCCTTTACCTCCCACAATTGACATATGATGATATTGACAGGAGACATGTCGAACTATTTCCAAACAAACGTTCCCTCCCGGAAGATGTTGTCGTGAAACTCAAAGAAATTGTCATGTTCGCTCAGGCAGGTAAGAAAAGAACGATGAGTTTTTCACGTCCTCAAAGATTGAGTTGCGACAGAAAATATTACTTCCGAAACATGCCTAGCACCTTTTGCTTCGGATGAGGTTGCTAGTATGCTCGGCCTCGTGGATTCGCTCATAGGTGAATGATTTCCTGAGGTGGGGAATCGTTGTTGATTGTTTTTTCAGATAGCGCAAACAAAGAGCGTGAGCACTCTGTGTGGATTGTCGGTAAGTCTTATCATGAAGGTCGGTTGATTACTTCTGATATGTTTGCCGATTTCAGCTCGATTCACAAGAATTTTCTGTGAGCTCAGGTCAGTAGTCTACGCAGCCATTTTCTAACCACTTTTCCAGGTAATGCCAAGTTTGTGAATTTTTGTGGACAACTAGGCGCCCGACTTGGTGTAGACCAATCGTTATACGAAAAACCCAATGTCCACTCGAAAGGGATCCTTCGCGTCATGAATGTCTTTCTGTTTGGATCATTTGATGCTCAGAGCAAGGGTATTCATAAGATATGGGTCGATGAAACTATCGTTCATCCGCGGTGGAAGAACTTTATTGATAGGCTTACCGCTGAATGGAATGGATATACAATATACGTGAGTTGTACTTTATTCCATATTGTCATGCAAACAATGACCATCTCAGTCCACTGTGATGCTTGCTGTCGATATCAGCCTTCTTACGGTCCAATCTGTCCAGACTCAGATGGCCGCAACCCTTCTGACATATCTGTCTACACTCTGCGTCATAGGCTCGTTGGTGGTCTCGCTGGTCTTGGCTGGACAAGTTAATGACAGCCGACGAAGCTCTGCTGAAGAGGTGGTACGTCTGCTTTCTATTTTATGACTTGTATTGTCCATGTCCACAGGCCTCTTTCATGTCAGGCATGTCGCGTTCTATGCTTGGCCTCGAGAGCCTTGCCCTCATGCTGAGTCTGCCATTTGCACTTTTGATTTGGGCGTGCGTTTCCAGTTATATTCCATAGGTTGTTGGCTCATTCTTCGACAGAATGGTGTTCTTTGCTGGGGCATTGTCTGTTCTGATTTTTCGCACTGCTGACGTTGTCGTCGTCTCGACTGCATCCCCGATTTGGTTCGCTATGTTTTGCCTGGCGATGTGGCTCATACTGGCAGCCAATAATTTTCACATCTCTCACTGCATCTCTCACTGCGTCTCTCACATCTCTCACCTGAGGTACTGGATCATAGGACAAGTGTCACAGGTTACCGACTTCTCTACTAATGTCTAGTCTAGGTAGACTGTGATTGCAGGGATATTATATTCTGTCTCAGGAGCAGAAAATGACGAGGCTATTTGGCGTCCGACGTTCATCGACGGCTTGCCTCAGTATGGAGTCCGCTGTAGTATATCTGTTGCTCGATATTTCAATGGTTTTGAATGGAAGTACGGTACATAAAAAACTATCTCATCTTCACATCGTATTAAGATCTCTTTTTCCCCGCTAGTCCATTCAAAGAGAGCTCTCGCTCCACCAACATCGATGAGACAACCAAACTTCAGCATTGCCCAAGGCAGTCTACTTTCTCTCATCACGGCCCTCAGTGTTTGAAGTTGCTGAAGTGCGACAGACAGGTATATACACTTTCGACCAATGATTCCTGTGCGGTCATCGTTTGTTGCTCAGCAGCCTGAAAGAGATCATGCCAGGCCGAGAGTTTGAACGTTCTTATTCTCTTAGGTTGAAGTGTATCCCATGTTTATATAAGAATTGGCGAAATAAACCGGGTCATCTAGTTCGACATGAGGTCTTGGAAGGAGCAAAAAACTCACTGTAGAAAATAGGAATATCAGTAGATTGTCCCGGGAAGCTTAAATCAGTGTAGCGTTGCGCCGAAATCCAAACCTTTGCTCGATGCACGTTAACGGGGAGAAGTTTTATTCGCTTGGGGTGAAGGCAGAGGTAAGGTAACGGTGGTCTGGAAGTACCCGTGGTGTACGATAAAGAGAGTTTTCCTTCTTACCGTGTGCTCGCTGCATGCAATGGCAATCAGTAGTAATAGTGGGGGTTTGATGTGTTGGGTTGGGCCTCATTCATAAAGCCGCCTGTATAGCTTCAAATGTGAAAGAGACGGTTGTTACTGCACGCTTACGACTTGGCATATATAACTGATGGAATGCAGAGAACTCACTTATAGTACATAGCTCGCCGTCATGAAAATAGCTGGTAGAAGTTCTCACTGAGCATCATAAGCGTTGATAATCATCATAAGCTTTCTATAAGAGCTCTGCAGGGTTGCAAGATAAAAGTCAAGCTGTACACCGAGAACCACATCAGATACTCGAGATGGAAGCAACAAGCTAACGATGCCATCAGTGCAGTTTTTCGTGATTCGATCGCAGCAGCATGAACGCGTCAGAAAAGAGCAATAAATGTATGCAATTATATAAAAAATGCGACATCATGCGAGCAGTCACCTGGGGTATTCTAAGACAACCTTGCAATATCAGCCGATATCCGATCTTTGGGAAATCCCGTTCCTTGTCCAGAATAAGAGAGGGTGGCGTACGTGCCCTTTGTCAAATATGACGGATTGACGACGACCGAATTGTCCACGACCTGCAGTAGATGTTGAAGAGATGACGGGTAGTATTGAGGAAATGGATTCACCTTTGAAAAGTGTTTCAATCGACTGGGTAGTACCATCACGTCAGGACCTGGATCCTCAGGACTTTCGGCGACTCTCAACTCTGCGGAATGCGATACGTCAAGATTGACTTCGTGTGCAACGTCTAAGGGAACAGGGAATATCGGATAAAAGCTATACAGATCGTTGGATGTAAGTTGCTGGAAGTTGAATTATGGCAAAAGTCTCACCTTCTCTGCTGCAAAACGTATCTGCTAAGATTCGACATGGGGTCGCTAGCAGCCTCCGGTTCGCATACGATAGAATCTACTTCTTGTCCACGTCTAAAGTACTCCTCCTTCCGCAAGTGATACAACACATCCACGCTGCATACAGCGAAAGAAATCTCGTTTAGTGAGAAGCGCGCAGGATTAGGAAGGAGTCGTATGCGCTGAAATCAATACGTCATTAGCTCGAAAGCAAGAGAAATAGCGCTCCAAAAACCCACTGGATCGCCACGAAACTCGTCATCAAGCTCGCATTGAGGAAAAACTGCGTGGTCGCTAATGATGTCATTCACGCTTGGTACGAGAAGGACTGTGCTTGTTGGCGATTGAGAAAGGAAATCGCGGAGGGGGGCGATAAATTGGTGTTTGAAAATGTCTGATGGCGTCTCATCAACCATGCCGTTCTGTATGTGGGCATGTGTAGCGTCTACGAATGGCCCGAGCTGGTTGGATTATGAGATTCAAATATTAAATTGAATAATGAGTGTGCATACGAGTAAGACGACGGCAGGTTTTGATGTCTTGAGGTTGCTGATAAGAGTTCTCCACGGTTTATAGTCGAGGTTAGCATCTGGAGTGAATGGCCCGCATGCTATGCACATATCGAAACTTGCTGCCACGTTACTCGGTGGAGCAGGAGACGCTGGCATCGGGGGTATCTACGCAAAGTGTGTTTTCTATCTCAAGAAGAAAACCAGAGACTCAAAATACTCACAGCTAGAATCTCAGACGCAATGAAATAACCTCCGCCGCCGTTGCGCCCTTTGAGTGCTACTACCGCACCGGGAAATAGGCCTACACCACCCAAGCCTCTAGACCCTCCCCGAATCTTGAGATCTGACGCGAGTTGCAGAGGCACACGGAGTCCATCGCCGTGCGATCGCGATGACTCGAGAATGAGCGACTGATCGTTCAACTTGATGCCTGACCCAGAAGCCTCAGCGTCTAGCACGATCCGGCCCACAACAACACATGATTCCTGCATCAAAATCAGCTAACAAAACCAGTCATCAAAGCACTCATACCTCGGAAAAAACACCAGGATGACCCAACTGATGGATATCCCGATAATGTTTCAAAACAAGTTCGCCAAACCCATCGAGTTGTGCATCCAGAGCTAGAGAAAGTTCCAGCTAGAGTAGCATCCACAATGTTTTCCAGATAAACACGCACTGTCGCTTCGTTCGCCTAATGTTTCATACATATACCGATCTTGGGCTGGATGAGCAGGGAGGACCAAGGTAATGATTGTTGACACTCACATGCGCGATTTTGTCTAGCCTCTTTCTGACCTACGAAAGTGACCCTACTTGAACTGGCGATCGGCCCATCAAAGTCCTGCTCAAGCTTCACAGGCACGCTCGCCATGCCTCCAAAAAGCGCTTTCGGTGGTTGAGCCGCAGCCTTGAGCGGCCCAGCAAGTCCTTTAGCATTTACCCCCACAAATTTCGCAGAATTCGCGAACTTCCCGCGCACAAAGCCTGTCGCTGCTGACTTGGATACACTGCTGGCATTCTTGGCTTGCATCTCCCGCTGGATCTGGGCCTTCACGTCTGATGCAGATTCGCGTGTAAAGCGGAGTATTGTCTGCGCTTTACCGTAAGATAGAGCTTCCCATTTATATTGGAGGTCCTTTGCTGTCAAATTGTACATCTGACATATGGATATGCCTGTAGAGCGTATTCGATGAAGGCTGTTCTTTGTGGATTCAAATGTGAAATCGTACATTCGTTTATAAGGCTTTCGGAGTCCTCCTCTGAGTCTGTAGCTCCAAGCCATTCGCAAATATCACTGCGTAAGGAAGACATCTTCGATCAGAGCTGAACAGAATGAGAAACACGCATGAAATGGACGCGTCCAGCCACAAGCGCGACGATCACAGTCACGTACACCGCAGAAGCAGTCACACAAGTCACGTCACACCAACGTTCCAGAATTATTATAGATAGCACCTGCAGAACAGACAGATGAATGTGCGATGAGCGGATACTATATGTAGTTACTGATACAGAACAGATTCAAAACAACAGCAGACTACAGATCAGGGCAGGGTAGCCAAGCATTGAATCTGGAAGGCATAGGATGGGGTACCGATGATACATAGGGAATACATGAGCAGAAAGTAGCGTCTTTAAGCTCTTTGAAGAACCGGGATGTGGATGAGCACGGAAAGTAAGAAGAGTAAACGTCTATGCGTCCTCCTGGTCCCCTGCATCAGCATCTTCCCTCTCTGGCTCTTCTTCTTCCGAATGGGAGAGTGAACTCTCTTTTGCAGGACATGAGCTGTTTGTGGGGGATACGCTTAACCCGCCGGAGTGTGATGTTGGCGGCGATGATGCATGCGGGATGCTATGCGTGGCTGTGAGTGAGTCACTGTGCATGGTAAGAATGGAGAACGGAACTTACTTGTCTGGATTGGGGATCGCAGTACCAACGGTGTTCTGTGGTGCGACTCCGGCTTTGGAGAGTGCATAGTCACCTGAATCGAAATATTTCCGGTCCTGGAGCGCATACAATAAGAACAAAGGTGAATAGTGAGACAGGTAACTTACCCCTTGCATCTTGGTCAAGATGTTCTTGTGCGCTGGAAGTTTGCCGTACAGTCGAAAGAGCTTTTGCTCCTCCTCCGTCAGTTTCTGTGTAAGCCAAGATGAATACATGGCTTTGGCACGGGGCATCGATAACTCACACTGATGTCGATCTTGTTGCGCTTGGCCGGCAGCATGGTGAAGTGATTAGCAGAACGAGCTAGGGACAAAAGACGATGAAGGAGGAGGAGCTAGTAAAGCCTTCGAGAATGTCGAAGAGGAAGCTCAGCACCGATGAATCGAATTGGAAACAAAAGTTTGTCGATAACTTGACGTTTCTAAGCGTTTCCAGTCTTTCCCTCAAAGATGTAATTACCTAAGCGGAGTGGCGGAGTCTTAATCAAACATTTCAATTATACCCGGCATCGGATGTCGGATCTCATATGTCACAATCAGTTTCAGCACACTTGTTTCCCAAGTCAGACTTTGTTGCAGAACACGTTATAGATCCCAGACATCCGTAAAACAGTCATATGCGCTACCCTGGACCACCTGACCTTCCATGTGTGTGTCAAAACCGTATTCTTGATCCGCGGTATTGCTCTTCACCTGTAAGAAGATGTCTTGATCAGGGCCCCCGTCCGGAACTTGTGAGACAGCAATAGGTCCAGTCTCGCCGTCAACACCAAGACCACCCGAGTCATCGAATACGTCGGCCAAATCAAATAATAACTCGTCCTCGCAGCTCCATTCTTCATCAACAAGCAAGTCAAATTCCTCTGTACCTCCAGGTTGTTTTTGGCGCCCAAACTTTACGGGATGACTTAACAGGGGTGGATGAAACACAACACGTTCGAAATCGGCATCTTCCATCTTCGCATCCTCTTGCTCGTGATCCGGTTCTAGATCCAACACGAAGCTATCGTCTTCATTTTCAGTCAGATAGGACCGTGCCAAAGGGGGTGTAGCGCTACGTGTTCGAGATGACGAGCCTAGGCCATCGATAAGAGATTCGTCCGAATGCGTAGTCCATGCACCAGAAAACGTGGACCAGGGTAATGCTTCTTCAGGCCAGTCCTCTAAAAGATCATCCGTGTCGCTCGGCACGGTCTGCTCCATATCAATAACCGAAACGGAGTTATCCATGTGAATGTCAGGGAGATTGGGCCAAGCTAGAGGGAAATCTATTTCCGCATTGTTGAAAATGGCGTCATCGTCAATTAGTTGATCGACATCCCCAGCTGAGGAAGTCAATAGAGTAGAGCGTGCGGCGATGACCTGGCTCTGAATAACTCGCACGCTTGTCGTCCCTGAATGGGAGAATTCATACCTTGAAGCGGGTCTGAGGGACCCCCGCTCTAAATATCTGCTCCAAGGACTCACACAATACGGCTTCTGGTGTGAGTTTTGAATCATTGATTTGCTCGCCATCATCCGAGTCGTCTGAGTCGCGGGAGGGCAGACACAAGGAGAGGGCTGCCACGGAGGTCTGGAGCACGGAGTGATGGCGAGCGCGTGCAGTCTAGACAGAAATTTATGGCGTGCACAAGCAGAAATAGAAAACGCACCTTAATTAGTCGCTTACAACGTGCTACAAAATGGGGATTTGGGGACCGCCGCATGATTTCGAGAATGGATTGTGCAACAGAAGGGAAGTACTCGGACTCCATGTCGAGTCTCTGTACATTGTTAGAGTGTTTGAGCAGAAAAAGTATCAACATACTCTGCACCACGTCCCAAAGATAAGAGGATAGCGTCTGAGCCATATGAGGGCGCATATACTCAACTCTGACTGCAGAAACGCACCCGACAAGCTGATTGAAAAGCTGCTCTGTGACGCGCTTGAGGAGGAGCTCAAAGGGTAGGTACAAGTTGTCTGCGAACGGGCTGGCATCGCCGAGAAGGCCTGTGGAGTCTTCGCGATCGCCTGCGGTTTTCCAAATATAACACAGATCCACTGCCACGAGAATAGCATGTGGGCGGGATGTATGGGATAGGGACCGTGATGGCGTCAGAGTGACTGCAGGTGGAAATTGTGCGTGGGCAGATAACGCACAGTTAAGGAGCTTACTTTTAGCGTGGCCGTCGTCGCTGTCAACGTATGCATCAGAAACGGTGTTTAAACCAAGCTGGAGTGCGTTCTGGAATAGATTGTCACATCAAAAAAAAAACGGAAAAAGGTTGCTTCGATACGTGCTTCATTGAGATCATTGCGGAGGTAGCGCATCAAGGCAGAGTGCGCGATTGCATCAGCAGGGACGGTCTGACCGTCTAGAGAACCTGAAATAGAAAAAATCAAATCTGAAAGTAGGAGAACGTCCAATTCTTTTGGTAGTCTGCCCTTGACTTTATGGAGGACGCTAGAAGGAGAGCCATGATAGTGCTTGTGAACGATTTTTACGTTCAATAGACATTGTTCAGAAGCAGCACGAATTGACGAGGAGGAGGAAAAGGATGGCATTGATAATTATTGAATTATTATGAGTCTAAGTCCATATGTAAGTCTAAGTCTAAATTGCTAAGTCTATATATGGGTGTTAGCCAAGTCTGTAGTGCCTCGTCGGGCGTTTATCAGTAATCTGGCCCACAGCCCCATCTACTGCTGTATACGCCCTCTCTTACTACGACCTACAGACAACACAGGTCTTCAACGGTCATGGTGCGCTCTCTCTTTCTGCTTTAAATTCACAGTCAAACAAGTCTCTATCATAGTCGACCGTCGAGCTAGACCAGAAAATACAAGATGTCTTCAAGCGCATCGAGAAGGAACGCAAATTCATTGACGCTTCACGCTTAATCAGACAGGCAACCACAAATCCCGACGTACTGCGTCAAAATGATGCAAAAGTTCGCGAGGCAGAGCGTTCGCTTTCTTATTTCGAGGACACTCTCCGGGAGCTACAAGCTCGCAAGCTACAGCGCGATGATCCCTCTAGATCGGGCACTGCTATATCTCCTCATCAACACCTATTCAAACAAGGCCGTTCCTCTGATAGAGATCGTTCACTTCCCCGAATCCCCCCCTCTGATCAAGATTCTACTCGTGCCTCTTCTAGCGCCACTCTCATCCCCGGCGATGATACCGACGGTGTTCCCAAGGCAAAGCAATACACAAACCTCGATTTTATCAAAGCAGATACCCCCCTTACAACTCCAAAGATATCTCGTATGCTTCATCAGCTCGAGTTCAAACTACAAGTCGAAATGCAGTACAAGAAGGGCATCGACAAGATGTCCAAGCTTTATCAGGCAGACGGCGACAAGAAATCTCGTGCAGATGCAGAGAGCAAGCGCGTTGAGAGCGAGAAGAAGATCCAGCTTCTTCAATCCGCTCTCAAATGCTACAAGAACCTCCATATTCTCGATGACGTAGAGGAAGAAGAGCAACCAGCAGGTCAGTTTTCCTTTTCCTCCTCAATCCATATCATTTCAAATTTCATGGGCTAGGTCCCGATGGCGAACATAAAGATAACATACGCGCTAAGCCGTTATCCGGCAAGCTCTATGTGACTGTCAAAGGAGCACGCGAACTCGAACATACTCCAATCATTACCGGTTTCAGATCCCGCCCTTCCTCCAAACAGGTTCGTGAGACCTTCGTATCTCTTAAAATCGAAGGGACGCAACGTGCTCGCTCCCACCCCTCGCGGACCGACCGCTGGAATGAAGACTTCGAAATCACAGTCGACAAAGCTAATGAGGTCGAGATCGCGGTCTATGACAAACAAGTGTCCGAAGTTCACCCGGCCCCTATTGGATTGCTCTGGATAAGAATTAGCGACCTTGTCGAAGCGCTCAGACGACAAAAGGTCATGATGGACAGCCAGGGTGGCTGGGTCACTGCGGGTGCCATGGATGGTGACTCTCCTGTCAATCGTTCTCCTCACCAAATTGGTGGATTCGGCGATGTCAACGCTCCTCTCAATATAGAACCTGATGGGGCAGGTAATCCACCAGGCGGTACAGCGGCGTACACGAGCCAGAACGAAGGCATTGATGCGTGGTTCGCGGTGGAACCGGCAGGTGCCCTTGGATTGCATCTCAACTTCGGTAAGTGACCTCCAAGTCTGTGAGTTGGATTCTTATGCCGAGTTTCAGTCAAGGAGAACGTGCGAAAGCGCCCGCTAGATGCCCCCGGTGGACTCGGCCGTCAGGGTGCTGTTAGAAAACGCAAGGGCGAAGTTCACGAGATGAATGGCCATAAATTCGTACAACGGCAATTCTATCAACTCATGCTTTGTGCCTTTTGCAACGACTTCTTACTCAACGCCCTGGGTTATCAGTGCGAAGACTGTCGATACACTTGTCACAAGAAATGTTACGAGAAAGTCGTTACCAAGTGTATATCAAAGTCAAACTCTGGGGTACGTATCTTCCCTCCCTCTCCCATCGTCTCTCACACCTCCCTCTCCAGGAGGGCGATGAAGAGAAGATCAACCATCGCATTCCCCATCGCTTCGAGCCCCTCACAAACATCGGTGCGAACTGGTGCTGCCACTGTGGTTACATGCTTCCCCTCGGTCGCAAGAACGCACGCAAGTGCTCAGAATGTGATATCACCTGCCATGCCAACTGTGCGCACCTCGTGCCTGATTTCTGTGGTATGTCAATGGAGACAGCCAACCAGCTCCTCCGTGATTGGCGCGATATCAATCGCGCGCGTGGGGGTAAAGTAGCGGCGGCGGTATCACGACCCATGACCCTCGCTCCTACCCCACAGACCCAAACGCAGGTGCTTCCACCTGCGGAAGTGCCGCTTAGCGATAGTCTAGACAGGATGCAACTTACGGGGGGAGAGGTAGCTCCTGTACCTGGGATGATTGTGGATGCGTTTGGGCGGCGCACTCCTACGCAGGATGGTGTTGATCCTCGTTATTATCAGCAGCAACCGCCATCTAGTGTTCCTCCTCGTCCTCCCCCAGGTGCTCGGGTCCCGGTGCCTCCTGCTTACCCCAATGAACAGTTGTTACCTCCCCCACCACCTCCGCCACAGGCACCTATGGCGTATGAGCAGGAAGAGTACTCGATCCCGGCACCACAGGTATGTTTCTGTGTTAGAGGTGTTAGCATGTCCGCTCATAATGGGCTAGAAACAGACCTCGTATCCGCAACCGGGTTTGCCAATGCAACCTCCTGGGCCCCAGTATGTACCGCGACCCCAGGACCCTCACTTAGTTTCGCCCGTTCAGGCTATGCCTCCGACGCAGCGAGTTGCAACTCGCAAGCGGAAAGTTGGTCTCGATGACTTCAACTTCCTGGCTGTGCTGGGTAAGGGTAACTTCGGTAAAGTCATGCTCGCGGAGGAGAAAAAGACGAATGGGTTGTATGCCATCAAAGTGCTCAAGAAGGAGTTTATCATTGATAACGATGAGGTCGAGAGGTATGTCTGATAAATTTGATGCGATCAAGACACTTAATCAGAATTTGTAGTACCCGTTCAGAAAAACGAGTATTCTTGGCTGCTGCTCGTGAACGACACCCGTTCCTACTTGGCTTACACTCGTGTTTCCAGACTGAGACGCGCGTGTACTTTGTCATGGAGTACGTTAGTGGAGGTGACCTCATGTTGCATATCCAACGCAAACAATTCTCGCTTCGTCAAGCCAAGTTTTACGCGTCGGAGGTCCTTCTTGCTTTGGAGTACTTCCACGCGAACGGCATCATCTACCGTGATCTGAAGCTTGATAATATTCTGCTCACCCTTGACGGACACGTCAAGGTTGCTGATTATGGTCTGTGCAAGGAGGATATGTGGTATGGCTCGACCACGAGCACGTTCTGCGGTACCCCCGAGTTTATGGCTCCCGAAGTACTTGTTGCATCTCCTTGCTGTGGGGACCGAACTGACGTTGATGCAGATTCTCCTGGAGCAACGATACGGCCGCGCCGTAGATTGGTGGGCGTTTGGTGTCTTGACGTATGAGATGTTGCTTGGACAGTCGCCTTTCCGTGGCGACGACGAAGATGAAATCTTTGATGCCATCTTGGAGGATGAACCTCTATATCCCATCACGATGCCGAGGGATGCTGTTTCCATATTGCAAAAGGTTGAAAGTTCCCGCACTCTACCTGTTGTGTTTGCTGATGGTGATTTTACAGCTGTTGACTCGTGATCCCACCCGACGTTTGGGATCTGGGAAAGCTGATGCCGAGGAGATCAAGAGACATCCCTTCTTCAAGGATGTGAGCTTTGACGATGTCCTGAACAAACGCATCCCACCACCGTACTTCCCCACTATAGTAAGCCCGATGTTTCAAGTACAAAGGAACGATGTTAATTTCATTTGCAGAACGGGAGTGCGGACACCAGTAATTTCGACGAAGAATTTACAAAGGAGCAACCGACACTAACGCCCGTTCACGGGCAGTTGTCTTCGAAGGACCAACAGGAATTCAGTGGATTCTCATGGGTGAGTGCGGTGTCTATTTCTTCGGTGCTCCTCACCAAACAACTTGCGCAGGTCGCTTCTTGGGCAGATGTATGATTTGGACTCTACGCAGCATTGTCGTCATCATCTGTCTTTGTCTTGTCACAATAATACATACTCTTTTGTTCTTCTCACCTGTACTTGGATAGTCTTCGCAAAGTTCATGAAAGCGATCATGTAGCGTACCTGTCGAACAATTTCACTTTCCCTCTTTAGCTGCTCGGTGCTATCGTTTGGAGTTTGTAGACACGACGTGGGCGCCTGTGCCGGGCACGGTCGTTCTATCTTCGAGCACTTCGTCTCGTTGTCCACGCATCAACTCGTGGAAGCTTTGCCAGAGGGAAGCAATGGTTTCGTATTCACGGGTCATGCCTATCACTTCTTCGAGCTTCCGATTGAGTACGTTGCTGGATGAGAGAAGGTCTTCGAAGCCCTGTGGGATGGCGCGTCGGTTTTAAGATGGGTTGGGTTGGGTAGTACTTACTGCTGTGATGTCTAAGGATAGTCTATCGCGCTCGCGTTCAAAGAAGGAGGGTTCTGATTGTGACATTGAGTAGTACTGATTAGTCGACTACTAGGCTAGTACTTGGAGGATTTGGAGAAGCGTGTCGGCCGCCGGTGTCGCGTTCTGAATCTTACGTCATCACACTAGTCCGAGTTTCAATTTAGACTGTAACATCCGACCAGCAGGAATCCATTTTTGACTAAGAAGCTGATAGGTGAGCGATCATTCAGATAATCTCAGTGTGCGACTTTGATGCGAGATAGAAGGTCGATGGAGGGCACGAAGGTACCCTCGAACGCTTATTGAAATTCATACGTTATTAAAATCTGCGCTGGCCGCCGGGTGCTTATCCGACAGCGACATGCGGCAGCTCCCGGTGTTCTTCCGGGGTACGCTGTCTAATCGATGGTAGTCGATTGTCTAGAATGGCCGTGATGTACCAGGATGCTGGCAAAGCAGTCCACCCCTCCTATTGCCGCTCGCCCAGACAGGACTTTCACCTTCTGGGTACATCCTCCGAGTCAGTCATGTGCAGATACACGTGTTGAAGCCCTTTTCAACTTGCTGTGACCTTAAAAGCAAGTCCGCTTTGGCATGAGCGATTTCGTCACTGTGCCCTTTCATCCATCCATATCTGCCCTTAAGCCTGCTAACCTCCCCAACCTATCATTCCGCAGTATACATTCGTGACTCGTGGCTATCGCGCAATATCTAACATTACATTCTGATCTAGTCTAGGACGGCGAGCCTAGGTTGCTATATGTCGCCATATTCGCCTGTCCGAGATGTTCGTATCACATCCTGGTCAGTGGAACAATTGCCTTTCTCCGAAGTTGTAGGGTCTGCAGACCGTGCGGTTCCAACTTAGGATGCGCTTGCATATTTTTTCCACTCCAGACGGAAAAGGTCAGTGGTACGATGCTGTTTTATTAACTTTCCTCCATCTTCAGGATTCTTCGGCGCTCGAGGTACTCGTGACCAACCTGCAGCTGATGCCCCCGCGTATCGTTTGTACGAATCTGCGTACCAGTAGCACTGGTAACCATTGCTGCTGGTTTGCTGATACAGCGCGAGTGATCGGAAATTTGAACATTTCCCTAGCAGGTGAAGAATCGCGCCGACATTATGATGCGTGCTTTCTGAACAAAGTGCTAATATCTCTCTTCTATTTGGCTTTTGACTACGCCTCTGTTTTCCATTCGTAAGTTGTGCCCCATCAAAGCTCGTGTTTATAGTATATTGATGTATTTCCGTGCAATTTAGAAGATTCAGGTTATGCATGTAGTGTTACTGCGCAATTATAAAAATGGTTTAAGGAGTCAGGGCTGCGCGGTTGCTGCACTTGGCACGGCAATACTCATACATAACAGGGAGCAGGTGTCATGGATATCGAGGCAGCAGGATCCGGCTGAATCTGGAATGATCTATGAACGGAGAACTACATATGAGTCGGACTTACGGTGTGGTTGCGGCAGATCTAAGTGCAGGAACTCGGATCAAGTATCCACAGGAGCTGGTAAACCATTGCGTTCTAGATCTGTGACGCGAGATAGAAGGTTGATGCAGATGGAGGTGCGCGAGGATGGTACCCTTGAATGCTTATTGAAATTCATAGATCTCGCTGGCCAGGTGCTTATCGACATGCGGCCCATCACTCCTGCTGTTCTTCTGATCAAGGCACGCTGTGTAATCGATGGTAGTCGATGGTTGAGAACGCCCATGATGCCCCAGGATGTTGGCAATCAGCCATATCACAATATTTACAGGCAATCGATCAGTCGACCGGTTGGTGCCAGCATTTTCCCTGACACGTGCTGAAGCCCTCTTATCATTAAAGCAAGATCATCCTTTTGGCATTAGCAGTGTCCTCCCCGCACTCTTTCATCTGTCCATGTCAGAGCTTCCTGCTGAACTCCCCTATCTGTTGTTTACACAGTCTACATGACAGATGAGCCCGACGTCGCGACCCGTGGCTATCGCCCAATATATAGCACTCTCCACCCGAGTACTCGATCAAAGTATAGTTCATTACATGTTCGCTCGGTCACATCCATCGGACACAAGATTCTCGTATGTTATTTCGGTCAGTAAAACAATATTAATTACTCTCTTCGGACTATGCAGTTCTAACTCACGTGCATTCGCGTACCTTTCCGCGAAATCTAGTTCTCGTAGAACACTTCAGACGGAGAAGGTCGATGGTGCGATACTGCTCCATCAATCTTCAGGACGTTCAGCGTCCGAAGTATCTGTGGCCGTCTCGTGGCTCTTATATCAGCATACCCCCATGTATCATTTATATGAGAGAACTCCTACTGTGCGAACCAATAGCACTGCGCTCTGCATTGTGGTTGGTTTACAGTGTGAAGACTCGGAATTTTGTATCACCCTTTCTCGCCAAGTGAAGAAACGTCCAAGAGCGTGATGCATATTTTCAGTACTGCATTCAGGGTGTCTGTAATAACTTGCAAAGGTTCTACTGCCTGCTTTGGTGCTAGATCTATATAATGCGACACACAGAACTCGTAACAGCGGAGAAAAAGTATGAAACTGGCTCGTAATGGAAGGGGTCGTAACAATCTGGTTGCTATACCTGACGTGAGGCTAGTGGCGCGATGATGATGCCTGGGCCTGTACTTGGCTTGAGATTGGTCTTGCTGGTGCTGCCGTGTTGGTTTCGCCGGTGGAGGAGATATGCGAGAAAAAGTAGGACATGAGCCCACCGTGGGACGGGTCATGATTGCGCCCGGTGCGATGGTTACTGGTACCAGCGGGCACGTCTCGTTTCTGCCGCAGAGCAACAGTCAATGATGACTGCATGGAAATCGGTGATCGGAATGCACGCGAGAAAATATACATTTTTATCCCGTACTACAGCTACTCCAACATCATGGGGAGAAAAGATACATCGCCTTGGGGCGCTGCCGGAGTTCGGTTGCCTCGTTGGTGTTGGAGTGAGAGCGATGAAAGACGGTCGAGGAAGGTAACCGGACTCCCGGAAGGTGTGCGAGCACCGAGCACCACAACGGTGATGTTCAGGGGAACGGTGATGGATACCGTGTGTAACTGAGGACTGCCGGTGAGTAAGAACAGGAGATATTCAAAGACGTTGATGACTCATATGGACACCGTCTTGCGCGCCATCGAAGAAACCTTGTGGTGGTCAATGGGCTTGCCCGAGCTTAGCTGGAAGTAGCACTGTAGATCCGAGTCACTCTAGCATGTTGATGTTGAAAAAATCGAAAAGTTCAAGAAGCATGACTCGGACACGTGCATTCATCATTTCATGAACGGCCCGGAACCAGTTGGGACCTTGGACAGTCCTTTTTGGTTGCCGCATCGGGGAAATAAGTACTAGACGCTCAGGAATCAACATTATGATGCTAAGCTGGGCTAGCTTCGTCGCAATTGAGTCCATTATGATCTCCAAAGATTCTAATATTACCGCTTTTCCAGCCCTTACTGCCCTCTGCTGCATAGTCCTTCGATATCGCGCAACTGAGTATGTTTGCCACAGAAAACCTCATTTTCCGCGGACTCGAAGACGATGATCTAGAGAACATCCTTCGTCTGCGTAACGATCCCCTCGTCCAACGCACCCTGACGTTCTCAGCTATCGCGCCTGCACCTTCCTCAAAGTACAAAGAACATATGAAGACTTTTGCGGAGGGCTCAGCGCTCTGGTTTTCTTTGGTACACAAGAAGAACTATGAATATGTCGGCTTTTGTTGCATCAATTTATTGGAGGCGAAGAACCGGGATGCACGGTTGGGCGTAACTATTGCCTCCAGGTTCTGGGGAAAGGGATATGGAACGGAAGCCACACGTTTCACTGTAAACCATGCCTTCAAGCAGTTTGGATTGCAGCGTATCTCTTTGGATGTTACAGAAGGCAATGCGAGAGCACGGGCCGTTTATACCAAATTGTGAGTGGCTAATAAGCTCATGGTGCGAGTAAGTTTTGTGACTGTTTCTTGTTCAGAGGTTTTAAGGAGGAGGGAAGGAAACGACGGGGGAATTGGATAGATGGTCATTGGGAAGATATCATCGCAATGGGGGTTCTAGACGAAGAATGGGCGGAGTTGCATCCTGACAGTCGCCAGCTGTGAACAAGATTTGCAATTGGTCGATATTGATTAATATCCGGGGTCGACGGGGAAAACTTGTCAATCAGATCCGGAATTTCTAGGCCTAGCCAGGCTAGCCTAGAGTATGATTTACATAAAGCTTCTCCTGACCAGTCTCGCCGCCGTGTGCCGACGCCTAACTGCCTTATCGGATCGATATATCTAGACTCTATGACGTCGTCCTTCCCGTATATAAAACATCTCTCTCAACCATCAATCTCATCACCTCCTTTCTCCTAAAACTCGTCACAGAGAATAAATCTAACTACTACCATGGGTACCGAAGCCAGGAAACTCCAGGGTGAAGTCGAACGACTTCAACAGGAGCTTCAAACCTTGAAAGCACAATATCATAGCGAGGACGAAGAGCTTATCACTATCTCTGATTATATTTTGAAGAGATTGGAACAACTCAACGTGACGGTATGGGTCTCTTTCAATCATGTTCATAGATCCCTACCCACTTGTTGCCCACAGTCCATCTTTGGAGTACCGGGGGATTTCAACATGCGTATGGTCTCATTAATCATCGATAACTTGGTATACTAACAATCTTGTGTAGCTTTCCTGGTGAATACTGCGCATATGAACAGCGCAAGCACTGATATTTTCTACCTCAATCCTTAGGACTTCATTGAAGACCATCCCACAATTCAATGGATCGGGAACTGGTAATGAGTTTATCATTTCGGCTGCATATTTTCTTACGCCATTATAGCAACGAGTTGAACGCAGCTTACGCAGCCGATGGATACGCCCGCGTGAAAGAGCATAGCATAGGTGTAGTTGTCACAACGTGCGTTTGGTAGTTGACAATCATTATTTGCCGGTGACCTCATCAATTTATAGGTTCGGTGTTGGCGAATTGAGTGCCACCAACGCAATTGCAGGCGGTAATTCTTGCTTGTTGTTCTCCCGTCAGGAGACTCACAGATCACTCAGCGTTCTCTGAAATGGTCCCTGTTCTTCATATCGTCGGAGTGCCTAGCACTACGCAGTTGAAGAATAAGCCTATGCTCCACCACACACTTGGTGATGGAAGGTATATACTTTTTTTTTGTTGATCCGGTGTCTCACGTCTTCCAGATTCAACGTATACACGAAAGTTGCGGAACAGATCACCGCTGCTCAGGCCATGATTATGAACAAAGCACAAGCTGCGGCCGAAATCGATCGAATCCTCATGGAGGCTATCATTCAGGTAAGTACTGATGATCTGCCTTCCCCTGTTCAAGCAGTAAACGTCCTTCAGGCTCGCCCCGTCTACCTTACCCTTCCGATGGACCTCACCACCGAAAAGATCTCTGCCAAGCGCTTGAAGGTCAAACTTCCGCGGACCCCTTCCCCCAATAACCCAGACGTCGAGAGCTATGTTATCGACGAGATTATGGAGCTCGTGGAGGATGCTAAACGAGACGTCATTATCCTCGTCGATGCTTGCGCTGTTCGTCACGACGTGCGCGGGGAAGTCAACGACCTTCTCGTGAAAACACAGTTCCCTGTATATGCAACACCAATGGGAAAGACATCAGTGAGCGAGGAGTATGAACGATATGGTGGCGTGAGTTATCGTCCCCGTCTTTCGCTCAAAACCGTTTTGACGTTTCTATAGATTTACATCGGTTCGATCACGCATCCGTCCATCAAGGAGAGGGTCGAGAATGCAAACCTTATCCTCTCGATTGGCGCGTTAAAGTCAGATTTTAACACGGGAATGTTCACGTACCATATTCCTGCGAGGCACACCATCGAGGTAATTTTCCGTGACATGCCAGTTTTCGACGCTTAGGTGATTTTTGCAGCTACATTCCGACCATACACTTGTTCGCCACGCAAAATTTCCGGGTATAGGAATGAAATGGCTTCTCCCGAAGCTTACGGAGAGGTTGAGTAAATTCCAGGAGGGTGCATCACGAATCCCCGTTCCGCACTATAAGTTAGATGTTCCAAAGGAAAGTGACGACAAGATTTCGCATGCTTATCTCTGGCCTCGCGTCGGCAAATTCTTCCGGAAGCAGGACGTCATCGTTGCTGAGACTGGTGAGTCGAAACATCTAGTATCCTTCAAAATGCAAGCTGAAGCATGTGTCTAGGCACTTCAAACTTTGGAGTTTTGGACGTTCCAATGCCTGACCAGTGTATTTTCGTCAGTCAAATCTTGTATGGAAGCATTGGATGGGCGACCGGTAAATATTGCGAAGTTTCTCTACTGAACCTGCATCTGACGGAAAACGACTGTAGCTAGCACACTCGGTGCAGCGATCGCAGCCCGTGACAGACATCTTGGTCGTACCATATTATTCACCGGCGATGGTAGCATGTACGTGGTTCGTCCATCGTGCCTGAAATTTACTTGAATATTTCATGTGGCAGGCAATTGACTGTGCAAGAGATCTCAACCATGACTCATAACAAGTTGGCGCCAATAATCTTTGTGCTGAATAACAAGGGCTACAACATTGAGAGGCATTTGCACGGCCTAGATAGGCGAGTGGTCATTGATAAGGCACTCTACATGACAGTTAACAAATCATTGCAGGAAGTACAACGACATCGCAGACTGGTAAGCCGTCTCGTTCTCTTCATCTGTATTTTGCTCACACATTCCCACAGGAAATGGGCTTCGCTCCTAACTACTCTCGGCGATATTGAGGGCAAGCTGACACAGTCGTACACGGTCCGCAGCAAGTCAGAACTCGACAAGCTTCTCGATGACGAGGAATTCGCGAGTGCGCGAAAGATACAGTTGGTCGAAGTAATCATGGACAAGTACGACACACCCCGTGCTTTACAAGCATCCGCAGCATTGACTGCACAAGCTGCGGCGGGGCAGCTCTGAATCATTAACAAATGTTTTTTAACGCATCAAGACTGTATAACCGCTGTATTAGTATTATTACAATGAAAATGACTCTGTTTTGTGAATGTGTTGTGACTACAATTATGACTTCTAGTACTCGAACCGACAGCTACAGGGGTGTTCACATTTCAACTTAACACGTGACTGACGCGTACCAGGCTGAGGCAATTGGCGCGTCAACCACGAGCAACCGTCTGTCTAGTCCGAATCAACCTATCGTCCACAATATTGTATTGCTCCGGACATTAGACTCTGCCACAAAGCTGTCGCCTTAATTCCGCTGTTGGTCACTCATCACTTCAACCCTGCTACCAACAGTACCTCTGTAACTCGGGACATTGACCGTGATCAGGCAGCATAATGGCGCACAACTCAGATACTATTCCTCGCAGAATGGGCAACTACTGGCTACAAGATCGACTTGGATCAGGCTATTCAGGTACGTACTGAGCCCACTCAACACTATTCCTCACCCAAGCCATCTCGTCCCAGGCTCTATCTTCAAAGCACGCCATGTTCACGATAACACTTTCGTTGCGCTCAAAGTGCAAGACGTCAACCACGAGTGCCCAACAAATCGCTACGAGCAGGCCATCTATCCTCTACTGCAAGGAGGAGAGGGCATGCCTCGGTTATGGGCGAGCGGTACCCAGGGAAAATGGCATTATCTAGTCATAAGTCTCCTCGGAAGAAGTCTGGAGAATATCTACCGAGAAAATTTGCAATTGGGACACAATAGGATGGACCTTCGGAGCGTATGCTCTATTGCGATTCAAGTGGTGAGTGTGCTCTAGCTTCAGATCGATGGGATAACCTTGACGTTGATCATATATGCAGATCGCACGCTTGCAGATCATGCACAACCGCGAAGTTCTGCATCGCGATATACAGCTTGGGAACTGTGCTATCGGATTGACGCCTGAAGAAGAAACCATCTATATGATCGACTTCGGGTTTTCTAAACGCTACATCGAATCGCACACGCGGCGGCATATCCCAGACTCAAAGGAGAAGAGAGATTTCTTGGGAAACTATTGGTTTACGTCTGTCAACGTGCATTGTAAAGGCAAGGGTCAGTATCCTAGATTTATTTATGTGTTATGGCTACCTATGAGAATTGTCGCAGTACCGTCTAGGCGAGATGATCTTGAGGCTGCCGCATTGATGTTTATACATCTTCTTACGCCTGGAGGACTCTCGTGGACACGGAATGGTGTACCAAAAACCGACTCGGCGCACGATCGTATCAAGCGAGCGAAAAAGAACGCTCGTCCTGAAGACCTGTGCAAGGGGATGCCCTCTGAGTTCGAAGAGTTTCTGCGCTATTGTAGACGGCTGAAGTTCTTTGAATGTCCTGATTACGATCACTGGAAGGACGAGTTCCAGGCGCTCGCACAGGACAGTGGCTTCACTGATATTGAGCGCTTTATCTGGCCACCACCGCCAGCTCCCAAGGTACGAGTGTCTGTCGGTATACCTCAGTTTGTGTGTTCAGAATTTTCAGGTTCAGCCTCAAGCAGGACGGCCTGCTCCTACACGGCCCACGATTGATGCAGACGAGATGGAGAACGTCCTGAAAGACTTGGCCAAGCTCCAGCTTAACCCGCCTCGTCCAATACTTGGGGACCAAACTAATGTCCCTGCTCCTGCGCGAAGACATGACTCAAAAAAGGCTAGCGAAATCATATCCGTAAGCGACAGCTCCGAGGACGATAGATCGAGGCCAAGTGGCCAACCCCTTCCACCCTGCACCCCCGTGCGAACAAAGAAAGCGAGTCAGCTGCAGAAGCTTAAGCTTTCCGTACTTGATTCGACGGATAACGCTGCTCTCGCAGTCGCCGTCGAAGAGTTCACGAAATTCCTGCAATTGGGCTCAAAGACTCTCACCAAAGAGGGTTTCGCCTTTTTGGATGCATTGTACAAACAGCTCGCAGATCCTTCGATATTCGTACACCCGCTTCGGACTTTACGAAGTGTAAATCGAGAGGACGATCGAGCCCCCCAACCAGCGCATGTGAAATTGGGCGTGGTTGCGAGGCTTCGTCGGGAAGTGGGGATTGCATCGAGTAATAGGGTGCTTGCGAACCTCGTGGCTGACTTTGGTGCTGTTACCAACAAGAGCAGCGGGAGGACTATCACGAAGGATGGGTTTGCGTTTTTGGAGGGACTAGCTGCGAGGCTACAGGCGTTAAATTAGAGCTGGAAGGGAGGACTTGCGTTTGCCAGGCCCCTTTCATTAGTGAGATTGAGATATTCTAGTGCCTCGCGGCTTTGTTCTCACACGCGTTGGATATATATACCGTATAGCAATGCTCCTGCCCATATTGCGATATGTCAATATGATTTCTGACATTTGATGAACGAGGCTTGAACGTTGAAAAACTTGCGTCCTTACCATGAACGACGTGCATGGTTCATTCAATGACTGGCAACTGCAGGTAGTGTGTTTTCAGACTCTCCTTCATTCAAGTTTCAAGTACCAAGATGTAGTATAACCCGGTCCACGTGTGCTCTCGGTTATCACCGGGACAACCCAATAAATAGACGGGAAGACAGTTCGCTTCACTTGCTTTCCTTTGTCTCATTTTCCCTCCTTTTTTTTATATAGAAGTTCGGATTAGACAGGAGTCTGCTACCACGACCTCAATCATGTCAGACCGATCAGAGAAAGGCGTCACGACTGTGAAACAAAATGTCTGCGTTATACCAGACCTCACAATCAAGGACTTGTTGAGTGCTATCCCGTACGTCTGCACGCGTCTTTGGATACATCTCGGGGCGAAATGCTTATTACAGTCGTTTTTGTTTTCAGCGCTCACTGTTTCAAGCGTTCAGCGTTGCGGTCATCATTATACATGTAAGTTGCTATCTTGCCCAAGATAGCTGGCTCTGACGCGTTTCACACTGACTAGTGTTTATGACCTGGTGGTAATCTCGGGTATCTACAAGACTGCCACTTATCTTGACAGTCTCATCTCTCCCGAACACATTTCCCTCCCTCATCCTCTGCTCTATCCTGCTGCACGCTTGTCTCTCTGGGCGGGGTATTCCTTCTGGACGGGTCTCTTTGCAACCGGCCTTTGGGTCATTGCTCACGAGTGCGGCCACCAAGCATTTTCAGAGTCCAAGTTGATCAACAACAGCGTTGGATGGGTTCTGCATTCCGCGTACGGTCCTAAATTTTTATTTCCGTCAGTCACGTGACTGACAGTACCTTAATTAAAATTTAGGCTTGGTGTACCATACCATTCGTGGAGGATCACGCATGCGAAACATCATGCTTCAACTGGTCATATGACACAGGATCAAGTCTTTGTTCCCAAGACACGTTCGCAGCTTGGCTTGCCCTCATTCGACCCGACGAAGGAGGATATCCTTGGTTCGAGTGTTTCGGATGAAGTAATGAAGGAGCTGAAGGAGGCACTGGGTGACTCCCCCATTGGCGCAATGTTGGGTGCTGCTACCTACTTGGTTAGACGAATTGGATAAGATTTGTGTGATCAGTGACTGATGGTATCTTTAGCTTGGCGGCTGGCCTGCATATCTTATCCGCAACGCATCTGGTCAGAAGCGTTACCCCAAAGGCACCAACCGTGAGTAACGGTTCGTGTTGCAAAGAGAACGATTTAATAATTTCGCTTTGTAGACTTCAACCCTGATGCTGTGATGTTTGCACCTCACCAGCGCGAGTCGATCATTCTGTCTGACATTGGTATCGTTCTATGGCTTGCTGGTGTCACTGGTTCCGTCTATACATTTGGGTTCTGGACTGTGTTCCGTCTCTACCTAGTGCCTTACCTCTGGGTCAACCACTGGCTTGTCCTCATCACGTTCCTCCAACATACCGACCCACTTCTCCCCCACTACCGTGCCTCTGAGTTCTCTTTCCCCCGTGGTGCTCTGGCTACTTTGGACCGCAATCTTCTTGGTGGCTGTGGCTCGATTATGGGTTGGATCGGTGCTCAAGCTACCCACGGTATCTCCGAGACCCACGTCCTTCATCACGTCTCCAGCAAGATCCCTCATTACAACGCTTGGGAAGCTTCTGATGCTCTTCGTAAGCGCCTTGAGCAAGCAGGTATCAAGCTTGAGGGTGCTCCGGGTGGATGGAGCGAAGTCTACAGGGTTTTCAAAGAATGCAAGGTCAGTATACTTTTACTTCAGTCTCTTATATGTTCTGAGGCATTGTTTAGTTTGTCGAGGATGAAGGCAACATTCTTTTCTACAAGAACGCCTCGGGTCTCGCTGCCACTCGCCCTGCATTCGCTGATGCTAGCGCTAGCGACTCCGGTATCGAGATTGACAAGATCTAAAAGCATAGTAGAGTCGCCGGTAGACCACCCGCTTGACTATTCCTTACATTATGATCCATAACATAGATGGTGTCACGTCTTTGGGGCAAGGGGGTCTGGTGGATTATTATTAGAGTCCAACGATCTTGCGTTATGATAATTCTAATGAATCACAAAATGAATGATCTTTTCGTTCGCCACTATTGATTAATCGTTGCTTGTGGAGATCTCTTTCTGCTACAGATCTAAGAACTTGTTGATGTCTTGACTCTTGACCGCTAGTTAGTGCGAGAACTTCAATTGACAACGTGTTGCGTGCTGTGGCTGAATGTAGAGGTGATTAGGTGATACGAAGCTCAGGTCTGATAAAAGATCTCCGTACGTGAATAGGACAATAGGACAAATCCGTTCGATCTTTCAAAAGAAGAGAATGCCTATTAGTCGTCGTCATTCATGGACTGCTGAATCTCATTCTTCCACAAATCTGAGAAGTCGTTGATGTCTCGACCACTACTCAGCGCGAGGGCTTCCATTGGCAGCATGTTGTGTTGGTAAGCTGGTGCGTTACGCGATGCGACCGGATGTAAAGGTGAGTCAATGATACGAAGCTCGGGTGTGCTCGACCCCTGCGTGAAGACCGACAAGAGTTCTTCGTACGTGAATAGCAGGGGATCCGTTCGGGGTGCGTATGGGTTGAAGTCTAGGACATGTCCCCGAGACAGATCACGCGTCATCAACACATCGAAGACGTCTTCAGAAGTGTGATGAGTGCGCGGACTACGACAAAAACAATGTGACGCATACAGTCTTGTTGTCCATGCCATTTGGATTTGATCTTGTCCTCCCAAAAACGCTGAAGCGTCTCTAAGACTTTATTTTGTGTTTGTGGCTCGTTCATGAAGTCATAGAAATTCGTATCGCGTTGTGATATCCCTGTACGAGCGTCGTTCGTGGCTTGCTGGAACAAGAATTAGAAAACAGGACGTGCCTATGAGACGGCCTTCACGAACGAAACACCTGAACTCGCGACTCCGGTCTATAGGGTACCATTTCCTCAAGACAAGCTCGAGTTGGTACGATGGCGGATTCGAGGGATCACATTGGCATCCCTCGAAGACCGCGTCGATACTTAGGTCGTGCGATATAAAGTCCGAGGATTTCAGCAGGATGTAGACGTCTGATGGCGATGTGCATTTAAGAGGCGAGGATGGTGGTAGCACCCATGATGCGTCCTGTGTTCGATGTGAACGGGGATCGATTTTGATGGAACGAGCTGACCTTTGGTGAAGAAAAGTTGAGCTTGGGGAAAATGGCGCCGTATTCTTTGATGATTTGTCTTATCCGCTCATCTAGATCGGGGAAGGAGAAGGATTGCCCAACTGCAGCGTCGTCTTCATCCTCCTGGTCCGAAGGAGAGCTTTCTGCGGGACTGGTGGTGGGAAGTGAGTACGACTGGAACAGATGGTGATTGTAGCCAACCGACACGTTTTCCGAGCCTTCTGGTACGAAAATGCCGTCAGAGTCGAGGTATTCCTTGAATGTTTGACTCAAGGGACGGATGATGGTGCTTTTGATGCTAATGGGGGAAAATGACGGATACCATGATGAAAATTGGAAGGAGAGTAGATAATCTGGTGTTTGTAGAGGGAAGATGCGATGCGATGACATGCCGGTCCAAGTACAGCCTGATCGAGAAAGCTAAGGGGCTACAGTTACTAGTGCTACTCTTCAACGAAAAACATTATGGTGTTGTAGTTGATCTGCGCGTTATCTTTGTATCTTGAGAACACTTCAAGCTTAACCGGTCCCTTCTCATGTTACTCGGGGTGAGCCTTGGTTCTTGAAGTAGACGACTCTTAGATTTAGGGGAAGAACGAATCGGTATAGTCGACTGAAGAAGTACATGAATTCTGAAACTGGTACCAATATTGTAAGGCCTTGGATCTAGTTCCTAGTGCTGGTATAATCAATAGATGAACAGTTCCACTACGAACAGGAATGAGAATGGACCATGCACGTAGCCTGATAGTAGCACTCACAGTCGCAATCATCATCAGAATTGAAGCGTTCGGCTGGCATGTCGAAATGGCCAACGCCGCGATCTTGTAAAATATTCGCGCGGGCATGAGAATCAACCCATCCGCCAAGGTTGGTGTCTTCATCGACATAGCACCCAATGGGCGGATGAAATTCTCCTCTTCTGCCAACAGAGTGGTCGATGACGCGTTCCACTAACAAAATGTCGTAATCCTCTTCAGCTTCGTTTGGTTCAATATCATTCAGTGCTGTAAAGTCGCTCCCGATGAGCATGCGTGCGGGTAATTGCTCCTTGCCACTCTTATTCTCCGCAGGAGGGAAATAGTATACTGCTCGGTTACTGGCACTGTGCGGGAGAAAAAATGGCTTCCGAGGCTTCCATACGGGCTGTTGATCCTCCTTGCCCTTCTCTTCTGTTGATCCAAACAACGGAATGCGGTAAACTTGCAGCAACTTTCTGCTGCAACTGAAGTAGAGATCCTTTGATGTCCAAGTGAGCGTGAATGGCATCTTCGATACGTGCAGCCGTGTAGTTTGGCCTAGCGCTAACTTCATGCAATGAATCTTCTGAGGTGACTTGGCAGTCTTTCTCCGAGAAAGACGGTACGTGCACACGAGAAGAGCTAGTTTAATGGGAGGCAGGGGTTCTGAGTCCTTCAATTCCGGAGCCTTCCCTTGTGCTTCAAGAGTGGCGATATGCAAAAATTCACCACATTCAGAAAAATGGATTTTCATGAAGACATGACCCGCTGATATTGGTCATCAGCATCGATTGCTCTGAGTTTTAGTGGACTTACTGTGGGGGGTTGATGGCTGCAGCCGCCGGGTGAAGTGCGTTTTGGCCAAGTAATACACAAACAGTATATTGCCATCGCCGAGTGGCCAGACGATCAGGGACTTCGTAGGGTGGAAGACAGGCGGCGAAGCAAACAGTCTACACTTGATTGGCTGCCTCAGGCGGAAGAGACGAGTGCACGATCGAGTGTCAAACACAGTGATGGTTGCTTGAGCCTTTTGCTTCTCTGCGCGTTCACTCCATGGTCCCTCCCAGTCGTGTCGTCCCTCGTGGCGAAAGAAGTGGTCGTCGAACACTTCATCATAGCTACTTTCTAAATCCTTTTCGTGTTCGGAAATGTCATCGCAGTCCTTCGAGTGGGCATTGATTTCAACACCGAAACCACTGATATCAAAGGAATGATAGCTCTCATTGTCAGTGTCAGTGTCAGTGTCTTCGTTGCCAAAGTGATTGGCCCATAGAGGGAGTATATCGTCTTCAAATCCGAAATTAGCAGAACAGTTGGTGTTGCCTTCACTTGTGCTCTCGTTGCTCGAATTTTCCGACTCAGTTCCGCGTTCGAACTCATCTTCTGAATCCGATGCGGTCTCTATGGAACTGTCTCCATCTTTAAAATCCTCATCCTCTTCTACCCATGAATCTTCATCGGCACTTGTGTCTAGGTCGTCGTCTTCATCACCTGCTCCGTCTGCTTTGATCTGCGTCACTCTGAGATCTCCTTTGGAAATCTTTGTTCGGGAAGTGAGAACGAGGAACTGACGACGACGTGCAAACTCCTCGAAGTAGATGGAGCGCAGATCGCACAGAAAGTATTGCGTAGGAATGGCGATAAATCTGCCATTTTTGGCTTGCCTGTACAGCTGGGTGCCAATCCGGAGGGTTTGACAATCTGGTCCGAAAGCAGCTGGTGCAGCCTTGCCTGTCTGTAAGGTAGGATCGGTTACGGACTCCGTATATAACTTCCAGTTGCAACTACTGGTGCTGAGTTGTATGGTCTGCTTGTGCTGGAGTTCCGGAGGGTGCTCTTTAGATAGATTCCAGCTCTCGCAAGAGCATTTGAGGATGGATGATCTGCTGACACGAGCTTCTAGCCTTGATACCCAAGAGATTAACTTCAGGCGATCATATGGTAGAAAAACATATTGACTGACTGTATCCGTAATATCATGACTTTGTCTCCTGTCTCACTGACCGCATCAAAAACGTACTGGACTCCATCAGAATCGACATCCGTTTGGAATGCAAAACATGTGTATTTGTCCTCCAATCGAGACAGAAAATTGTTCGGACCAAGAGCTCCGAACCATATGCGATCTAATTGTCCGATGTATGGGAGTATTTCGCATGTCTTTTCTCCGCCACACTGCTCGCAGCTAAGGAAATATATCCAGTCCTGCAAAAATCGGCGGTAGTCTCTCCAAAGCTTTTGACCAAGACCGGTTTGAGCTCGTGCAAACCATGATGGGAACACCCGCCGAAAATATGTGTTAAAGCCATTGTCTTCATTGGGACGGGAGAAGAACGAAAATTGCGCTTCTACCCATAGGCTCTGGACCTGCACGCAGGTCCAAAAGTTAGGAGAAGTGATGAAAGACTCAACACTACCTATTTCTGCGATAGTGACGTCGTCAAGGTGTTTGTCCCAGTACTTTGCTGCATACACAAGCAAAGGGCGACAATCGACCGGGTCTTCCGTCACGTCAAGCCACCTTCCCTCCCGTCTGACTAGTAGACCGGAATATCGAGATTGTCCCAGGTAATGTAAACAAGCGCGAGCCGGCCACTCAGCGCTAATACGAAGATTTGAGGAATTGTCGCACAGGATATTTGGATGGTCCACAAGGAAATCGCGCAGGGTAGAATGTAAGATACGACAGGTATATTGCTCCTCAGTGCAAGAATCATCTGTGCCATCGGTATTGATGAATTCGATGAAGGGTTGGACTATGGCACGGATGGTGTTGAAGTTGGGCTTGACCTTGTGCTGGAGTTCTTTGTGGGGCTCACTCTCCAAGCACGATACAGCCTCAGTAAGTTCTTTCAATCGCAGAGGACGTCGGGCAAAAATAACGAGTGAAAAGACTTTGCTGTAGTACAGTAGTATGTTCAGCATCGCAAGCATGTGGTAGAGTAAATGACCGACATACCAAGCTAGTGGGCGGTCAAGCTTCTCCATACACTCGAAAAATCTGTGATAATACTCTGCCAGAGTCTCCGGGAACCCTTTGAGATGTTCTTCCATCCTAGCGGTCGACCAACATTCTTCAAGGGCGTCTATCATGAACTTTGCCCAAATAAAACTACACTCGGCACGACTTTTCAACATTTCCAGGATAGGAGCTTGCTCGGAAGGACTCGACCATAGTAACCGAAGCTTAGAAACCTCGTCTGAGAAGTACAAAGCGAGATCGCTCCTCGTGTAGCCATCGATATCGAGGCTACGGCACCCCCGGAGTTCCTTGCTAATGCAATCCCGGCGCTGGCTACTACACCATACACGAACTCTGGTAGGAGAGTCGTCCACGAGCTTGGCGAGAAAACGAAGCACTAATACAGCATCATCCCACAAACTTTTCGTTGTCGTCTCCTCATCCAGACCATCGAGAAAGAAGTAGATCCTCGAATATCCTTCAATTAATGCCTTGATGACTTTTTGAACCCTTTCAAGGAGAGATTCGGGCGCATGTATGATTTTCTGCAATTCATCTGGAATTTCCTGCAGGCGCTGGCGGTATTGCAGGAGGAGTTGTGCTGCGAGAATAGACAATATCTGCTCTGGAGAAAGATGCTGCGCAAAGTCATAAAAGTGAAAAATCACCACATCCGATCCTGGGCTTTTGGCCAGGAATTCGATGGCGCTCGAACACAGAGTCGATTTCCCGGATCCAGGCGGACCATGGATCCACAAGATCGGTGATAATGGGGGATTGTTCTGCCATTGGAGAAATTCGTCATGGGAAAATAGCCATTGGCAAGTGATTTGGCTACGGCCACGTAAGTTCCTGCCTTGCAGTGCGAGACACTGATTGTTCAAGGACTCTGATGACAGCCAATCCAAGACTATGTCCAGCTTCCGCGTTCCATCGCACTCCCACTGAAAGCGGCGGTGATCTTCTACCCTGATCCTCTCTTCTCCCACCTCCTGCCGGACTGCTTTATTCGCCTGACGGTCCTCGCCTGACTCTTGGTTGTGAGGCAGGCCAGCGTATGCTTTAATCTTCACAACATCCTCACGCATGTGACTTACGATGCACCCCAACTTCTTTGTGCTGAAAGGTGTCCCGAACTTTGGTCCTAAGCCTATTGTCAGATCAAGCTCAGTTGTCGTTAAAAACTTCCTGACCTGACTTGGTGCATTCTTTATCAACTCTATGCCAGAAGCGGATAATATTGATGTAAGCATTACAGAGGGTACTCTGCATTTTTTGGTTTGTTTGGTACAGGTCGCCATAGCCAGCGATATTCTCTAGATGATCACTGAGAGAGGCCAACTCGTAGTGGATGGTTTCAAAGAGTCTCCCGTATTGATCAAGGCTCTGAAAAAAGGTGAAGTCGAGTAAACGTCACTAAAATTTATGTTCGACTAGGAACTTGACACTTGCATTGAGAGCAACCTTGAGACAGCCCCAGACGATCGATCCGATCGGATTCAAGGTGGCTAAAACGAGATGGTCAACATCCAGGAGGGCATCTACGACGAGCAAAAAATTGACTTAATGAATCCACGATACCAGTGAAGCTCGTCAGAGCGTTCATGAATGGGAGCAGATACGTGCGAACCACCTTCCGGGACTGTCTCTGGTAATCCTGACTCCGAGTCTCCACCTCTGTGATAGCTTCATTTATGGCTGTAACAGGATCATGCCATTCTGAGGCAAACTTTGAACATTTTTCGATGAATTTGACCTTTTTGATCTGGGACGAGTTGATGGTTGTGCGATACTCTTCCCAGGCCTGTTCAAAGAGAGTTTTCCTTGAGACAGAAGAGTCTAGTTGGCGAGTCAACATATCGACTTTTTTTGAACACGCACTTTGAGAACGGTAGGGACGTTTTCTCGTCTGGCTGATGCATGAGCGTTCAGTAGATGCAACCGTTTACAGACACTCGTCATAGCCAGCCTGGCAGTTAAGTATGTCATAGTTCACAGGCACAATGTCCTTCATGAGGCGTTCGGGTGGTCGCAAATCAGAAGCCTCGAGGTTGGAGCACAGCCTGAGAAGGTTCTCTAAAAGTGTTCAAATCTGCTGAAATGTTTGAACTTGTGGTATCCTGGAGGTGGAAACAATACCGCATTGCACAACGCGAGGCAGGCCTTAGACGTCTGGACTCCCGGAACGTTCCCAATGGAAGTACAAACGGTTAATAAACATTCTTCCTGTATACATGCGGTGGACACGCCAGCACTCACTCTGGAAAGGAGAAGGACGACTGTTATGATGGTACATGCGACTATCTACAACCAGGACCCCTGCAAACTGCCAAGACCCCTGGCACCCCTGCTGCTTGTCTCCCGCCGGCCTGCCTCTGCTCTGCTCTGCGCCCGACTCGCTTACACCTGCTAAGGTGTACCACTACAGCGGGGCAGCTATTGCCACTTATGATAGCCTAGAAATAATTTGGGAATTTGCCACATGTGGTGAGGTGCGATATCACTGGTCACTGGTTGAAACGTTGAGGGGGGTTGTAGTTCCCCGCAGATTCGATGGTTTGATCAGCAAATTAAAATAGCATGCAAGGCTCCACTGTCACCTGCCGCAAGTCAGCCAAGAATAAGTAATTTCATAAATGATGCATCGGGTCTAGGCCAGGCCCGAAGTTTGGGAAGGCCCGCCTGCAGGCTTAGCGCCAAAAGCTTCCATTCAAACATATAGTAGCATCAGTGAACCGGTGAACAGATGAGAATGATATTTAAAGCAATGGAAGGATAAAAGGAATGTATCCGCGTGTCTCGGATGCGAAGAGTGAAGCTCTTCGCATCGATGAGACACGCGGACTGCGTAGGCGTTCGGTTTGAAGCTTAAGTCAGAGTGCAGAGGATATAATATCCTTACAAGAAGATACGTGCAAGAATGACAATTGTGATGAAGTACGCAGCTGAGAATGAATCTGATGAGCACTGTTCGCAAATATCCTGTATGGCTTGAGGATACAATGAAGGCGAACTTACTGAGTTTGTAAAACATTGCATCTTGTGTGCCACCCGGAACGCCGTCTCGCGAATGTGATTTGTGCTCAGATGACAGCTGGTGTTCCCGAGCTTTGTTCCAATCCTGCATAGAATCAAGCACTGTGCGGATGTGTTTCACGTAAAGCGTTGTATCCGAATGTAACACGAGAGAGAGAGCAGTTGCCACAATGTTCTTGATCTATAATGTCGTTGGCACCATTACTTTCAACTATACGAAATGCAAGAAAGCACCGATTAACATACCTGACGGCCATTGAGCGTTTCCAGGGCCAAAGCATCAATTTCAGCCTCGCTGATCAAGCACCGGTGGGCATCCGATGCCTTCTTGATGAACGTCTTCCAGATCTGTCTCCGTGAGGTTTGGCACAGCGGTGGGTACTGTACCGTGAAGTGGATTCGGCCTGTTTTGCGATTGATTGAGGAATGCAAGTACAAAAAAGCGAAAGCACGTACTCTCGAATGCAGCATCACACTGTGAGACCAAGTTGGTCGTCAAAAACATGATTCCCTGAAAGTATTCCAGCTGCCGTAGAAAAATAGATACCAGGGCATTCCGCTCCACATCAGTCTCCCTCCTTTGTGACAGAAAAGCATCTGCCTCGTCGAGAAGAACGACTGCCTTCCACCGCTGGGCAAGTGCCAGAATCTGAGCCAAAGCGTTGTCTACGCTCTCAGGGCTGGATCCTAATTCGCCCGCTGAAATACAATACAAGGGACGCTTTGTCACCTGCCCAAAGGTGGCGTAGGTAGATGAAATCACGAGCAACATTAAGAAATACCTCTGCTGCTGCTTCCGCTGTAAGTGTCTTGCCACATCCAGGTGGACCTGCAAGCAATCCAACAAGACCTTTTCCTTTTCCCCGCACGAAGTCATCAAAGGTTGACGCACGCGATGCGTGCTGCTCCACTAATGCATGAATCAATTCCTTCCGTCCGTTGTCCAGGACCAGAAGATTGAAAGGCTCCAATGACCAGGACACGTCCCGCAGGCAGTCAAGAGCGAATCCACCTGAGACGTGTAAATTTGTGGCAGAAACGTGCAGAATCAAGCAGAAAAATTCTCGTACCCCACTGCTTTGTTTCGAAGCAAAAGCCTATGACAACAGGGGTGCAGATTATGTATTGCTCTTCCTCGAGTTCCTCTCGCTTCAACGGGATAGAAACCGGGAGATTGAGACTAGAGTTAGGCTGAAACATACGAAATGCCCAAGGATCGATCATAACGCGCCCGTACGCCTATATTGATTTGTTATAGGGCATACTATTAAGCAGGATTGGTTATTGCTGCTCACCATGCACTTTCGAAGGTCCTTATGGTCGTCCATGGGATGGTGGTCGACACAGGCAGCCATCCCGGAAATCTCACCATAAGTCTGGCATTGCAAGCTTGCAAATTTCCGACCCCGTTTAGCAGCAAGTTCGCGAATGTTGCGTCCATTTGAGTGATAGAGGAGAGGAAAAACAGACAGGCTTTGTATCTTTCGCTCTCCTTCGAAAGACGGGATCAGAAGCCTTTGGTTAGCAATTCCAAAATGCTTCCCGTCGTCAGTGATCACATGACAATGGATTGCAGCGAAGATTCCTTCATTTGTTCTCATTATCTCAAAGCGCGTAGCTCGGAGAATGTGATCCTGCTCGGTGAACTCGTGGTGACTGAAGACTAGGGTGCCATGACGGAATAATGTCCAAAGTAAATCGAAGGTGATAGACTCGTGTCTTGTCAGTGACTGAAAGTCGGCGAAGGTAGTTTGGTATTCCTCCCAAGTAAAGTGAAGGGCTACTTCGATTTCAGATATGAGCGAAGTGTTTGGAGTGCCTTTCGACCTTTCCAATTCTAGTCGTTCCTTGAGCTCATTGAAAGAGAAAAAAAGCAGCTTTTGATCACACTGAAATACATAATGAGAATTGCAATGCGATGTTAAAATATTTAATGTTTAGCTTACGACAGGGGAACTTCGCAAGAGGTCTAAACCCTCTACACCTCGGTGTATCTCCATGAGCACCTCGCAAAGTTCTTGACTTCGGATGTCAATTTCAGTCTTTGCGTGTCGACCCTTGATGTCCATGACTCGTCGGATGACGAGGACTGGTTTCTTTTGATCCAGTCTCTTGAGGTGCTTTGACTGTTTGTTTGTGTTCGTCCTGTTGTAGACGATTGCTGACAATCGTCTGAGGGAACTATCAAGTTCAAACACTGAGCATCCTGTTCTGGAGGTGCTTACGGATCAAAACTGTAACGAAGATTGACATGAAGAATTGGGACGATACGGAGGAACTCACTATTGGTCATAACGAACAATTCGTGCTTCCAAGGGCAGTGTTGTTGTTCCTACACCAGGCTCCGTACTAGACATGATACGAAAATTATGGGAATTTCTTGTGGACTGGGAACAACGCAGTGTGCCTTCAGCTTTATGTCTGATGAGAGTTACAGGTGGAAGACCACGTGTCGAGTGCCTGTACACTGCATATCATCTTACATCCGCCGTCACATTTGAAATGCAATGCCAAAGGTGAGTGGGTTCATACCGACTGCATAGCCGCAAGCTTCGAAAGGGTCGTCAAAATAGCAGGATGGAATGGGGTAAGAATGAGCCACCCCAAATCAAAACCGCCCTTAGATAGAACGGCATTTGGATACACGCAGCCAGGGTGTGCAGCTGATGCAAAAAATGACTTATCAGCATGAACCCGGGCAGCCAGACTTGATATCATGATGACTTGACTATCAACATGGTCAGGCTGTCGTTACAATGTGATGCCTACAACCTTTGTCTTGCTCTAGGTATATGTAGAAGCTGCAAGTTTAATGTTTCCTCCTTGAAGGTCTGATCGAGTAGCATGTTATAGGTGGCAAGTGATATGTTGCAAGAAGGGGTGCAGGTAGCAATTTCTGATCCGCTATGCGTCTTCAGGTCATCTAAGATCCACATCCTGCGCCTGGTTCCAGCCTGAGTAGAAAAGGCCCGTCTCAATCTTACTACCTTCTTCTTGCGAAGGAGAGATATGGGCGTTGCCAGCAGCCATACACGTACGATACTCCACATACCCCGCGTATTCCAGAAGAGAAGGAAAATTGCAATAGAAGGGACAGGACTGGGTGAGTGACACATATATGCCGAGTAAATGAATTTGCCGCTTGCTAACAGAGGAGCACACATCAAGAGCCTGGGAGGGAGAAAGGCCTCATGTCTATAGTATTATGTAATAACGCAGACATCTGCATTAGGTTGCAGTATGCCGTACTCGATGGGTTCAAGTTGTCGGAACAGTCAAATATCTCACTGTTCATCCGTTCACTGATACTTAGCTTGGCGGCCTACATACCTTATCCTCTGGCCAGAAGTATTACCCCAAAGGCACCAACCATAATATGAAGCAACGAATCGTGTTGCAAAGAGAACAATTTGTAGACTTCAATCCTGATGTTGTGATGTTCGCACCTCACCGACGCGAGACTCGAGTCGATCATTCTGTCTGAGATCGGTATCGTGTTATGGCTTGCTGGTATCGCTGGCTCCGTCTATACATATGGGTTCTGGACTGTTTTTTTTGGCTCTACCTAGTGCCTTACCTCTGGGTCAACCACTGGCTTGTCCTCATGACGTTTCTTCAACATACCGACCCACTTCTCCCCACTACCGTGCCTCCGAGTTTACTTTCCCCCCTGGTGCTCTGGCTACTTTGGACCGCAATCTTCTTGGTGGCTGTGGCTCGATTATGGGTTGGATCGGTGCTCAAGCTACCCACGGTATCTCTGAGACCCACGTCCTTCATCACGTCTCCAGCAAGATCCCTCATTACAACGCTTGGGAAGCCTCTAATGCTCTTTATAAGCGCCTTGGACAAGCAGGTATTAAGCTGGAGGGTGCTCCGGGTGGACGGGGGGGAAGTCTACAGGGTTTTCAAGGAATGCAAGGTCAGTATAATCTTTTCGTTCGCTATTATCGATCAATCGTCGCTCATGGATATATCTTTCTCGATCCTAGAACTTTTTGATGTCTTGACTGCTAGTAAGCGCGAGGACTTCAATTGGCAGCATGTTGTATTAGTGCGTTGCGTGCTGTGACTGGATGTAGAGGTGACTCGGGACGATACGAAGCTGCGGCAAGGTCTGACAAAAGCTTTCCGTACGTGAATAGGACAATTCGTTTGGGGTGCATATGGATTGGATTCTAGATCTAGAAAACGATCTTTCAAAATAAGGCCGTGTCTATTAGTCGTCATCATTCATGGACTGCCTGCTGAATCTCATTCTTCCACAAATCTGAGAAGTCTTTGATGTCCTGACCGCTACTCAGCGCGAGGGCCTCCATTAGCAACATGTTGTGTTGGTAAGCCGGTGCGTTACGCGATACGACCGCACGTAAAAATGAATCGATGATACGGAGCCAAGGTGTACTCGACCCGTGAAGATCGACAAGAGCTCTTCGTACGTATGTGAATAGCAGCGCATCCGTTTCGGGGTGCGTATGGGTTGAAGTCTAGCCGTGTCTCCGAGACAGGTCACGCGTCATCAACACGTCAAAGACGTCTTCAGAAGTGTGACTCATGAGTGCGCGGACTACGACAAAAACGATGGGACACATACAGTCTTGAAGTTGTCTGGTTCTGACTTATTCAGGTTTGCGCGTTATCTTTGTATGTTGAGAACACTTCAAGCTTTAACCGGTCACTTCTCATGTGAGCTTTGGTTTTTGAAGTCGACGACGAGTCAGGGCTCAACTAGATTTAGGAGAAGAACGAATCGGCATAGTTGACATACTGAGGAAGTACATGAATTCTGGAAACTGGTACCAATATTGTAGGGTCTCAGATCTAGTTCCTAGTGCTAGTATAATCAATAGATGGACGGTTCCACTGTGAACAGAAATGAGAATGGACCATGCACGTAGTCTGAGATTAGCATTCACAGTCACAATCATCATCAGGATTGAAGCGTTCAACTGGCATGTGAGGGTCTAAATGGCCAACGCCGCGATCTTGTAAAATATTTGCGCGGGCATGAGATTCAACCCATCCGCCAAGGTTGGTGTCTTCATCGACATAGCACCCAATGGGCGGATGAAATTCCCCTCTTCTGCCAACAGAGTGGTCAATGACGCGTTTCACCAACAAAGCGTTGTAATCCTCTTCAGCTTCGTTTGGTTCAATATCCCTCAGTGCGGTAAAGTCGCTCCCGATGAGTATGCGTGCGGGTAATTGCTCCTTGCCGCTCTTGTTCTCCGCAGGAGGGAAATAGTATACTGCTCGGTTATTTGCACTGTGCGGGAGAAAAAATGGCTTCCGAGGTGTCCACACGGCTTGTAGATTCTCTTTGGCCTTCTCTTCTGTTGTACCAAACAACGGAATGCGGTAAACTTGCAGCAACTTTCCACTGCAACTGAAGTAGAGATCCTTCGATGTCCAAGTGAGCGTGAATGGCATTTTCGTTACGTGCAGCCGTGTGGTTTGGCCTAACGCTAGTTTCATGCGATGAATTTGCTGAGGAGGTGACCTGGTGGTCTTTCTCCGAGAGAGACGGTACGTGCACACGAGGACAGCTAGTTTGATGGGAGGTAGGGGTTCTGAGTCCTTCTTCAATTCTGGAGTCTTTCTTTGTGCTTCAAGGGTGGCAATATGCAAAAATTCACCACATTCAGAAAAACGGATTTTCATGAAGACCTGACCCGCTGATATTAATCATCAGCACCGATTACTGCGATTTGGATCGGACTTACTGTAGGGAGTTGATGGCTGCAGCCGCCGGGTGAAGTGCGTTTTAACCAAGTAATCCACAAACAGGACATTACCATCGGCGAGTGGCCAGACGACCAGGGACTTCGTGGGGTGGAAGACAGGTGGCGAAGCGAACAGTCTACATTTGATTGGCTGCCTCAAGCGGAAGAGACGAGTGCACGATTGAGTGTCAAACACAGTGATGGTTGCTCGAGCCTTTCGCTTCTTTGCGCGTTTATTCGACAGTCCTTCCCAGTCGTGTTGTTCCTCATTGCGAAAGAGGTTATCGTCGAACACTTCAGATGGGATAGCATCATCTTCAGAACTGCTTTCTAAATCTTCTTCGTGGTCGGAAACGTCATTGCAGTCCTCAATATCAAAGGAACGACGGCTCTCGTTGTCTGTGTCTGTGTCTTCGCCGCCAATGTGATTGGCCCACGGAGGGAGTATATCGTCTTCTAATTCGAAATTAGCAGAAGAATCGGTGCTGCCTTCACTTATGCTCTCATCGCCCGAATCCTCTGACTCAGTTCCACATTCAGACTCGTCTTCTGAATCTGATGCGGTCTCTATGGAACTGTCTTCATCTTCCGGGTCCTCGTCAAGTCCATCCCCCTCCGAATCTGATGCAATCACTATGGAACTGTTTTCATCTTCCGAATCCTCGTCAAGTTCGTCCCCTTCTACCCATGGGTCTTCATCACCCGCCCCGTCCGCTTTGTGCCGGGTCACTTTGAGATCTCTCCTGGAAATCTTCGCTCGGGAAGTGAGAACGAGGAACTGACGCTGACGTGTAAACTCCTCAACGTAGATGGAGCGCAGATCGCACAAAAAGTACTGCGTAGTAATGGCGACAAATGTGCCATTATCGGCTCGTCTGTACAGCTGGGTGCCAATCCGGAGGGTTTGACAATCTGCTCCAAAAGCAGCTGGCACAGCCCTGCCTGCCTGTAAGGCAGGGTCGCTTACGGACTCTGCATACAAGTTCCAGTTGCAACTACTGGCAGTAAGTTGTATAGTCTGCTTGTTCTGGAGCTTTGGAGGTTGCTCTTTAGATAGATTCCAGCTCTCGCAAGAGCATTTGAGGATAGATGTGCTATTAACACGAGCTTCTGGCCGCAATACCCTATATGTTGACTTCAGTGATCGTATGGTAGAAAAAAATATTCACTGACTGTATCCGTAATATCATGATTTTGTCTCCTGCCTCACTGACTGCATCAAAAACATACCGGACTGCATCAGAATCGAGACCCGTTTGGAAAGCGAAACTTGTGCATCTGCCCTCCAATTGAGACAGGAAATTGTTTGGACCAAGAGCTCCGAACCATATGCGATCCAATTGTCCGATGTATGGCAATATTTCGCATGTCTTTTCCCCGCCACACTGCTCGCAGCTAAGGAAATATATCCACTCGTGCAAAAATTGGCGGAAGTCTGTCCAAAGCTTTTGACCAGGACCGGTTTGAGCTCGCGCAAACCACGACGGGAACACCCGCCGTACATACATGTTGAAGCCATTGCCCTCGTCGGGACGGGAGAAGAACGAGAATTGTGCCTCTACCCATAGGCTCTGGACCTGTATGCAGGTCCGAAAGTTAGGAGAAGTGATGAAGGACTCGACACTACCAATGTCAATATTGACGTCATCAAGGTGCTTGTCCCAGTACTTGGCAGCGTACACAAGCAAAGGGTGGCAATCCACTGGGTCTTCCTCCACATCAAGCCACCTTCCCTCCTGTCTGACTAGTAGGCCGGAATATCGAGATTGACCCAGGTAACGTAAACAAGCGCGAGCCGGCCACTCAGCGCTAATACGAAGATCTGAGGAATTGTCGCACAGGATATTTGGATGGTCCACAAGGAAATCGCGCAGGGTGGAATGTAAGATACGACAGGTATACTGCTCCTCAGTGCAAGAATCATCTGTCCTATTGGTATTGATGAATTCGATGAAGGGTTGCACGATGGTACGGATACTGTTGACATTGGGCTTGGCCTTGTGCTGGAGTTCTCTGTGGGGCTCACTCTCCAAGCACCACACAGCCTCGGTAAGTTCTTCCAATCGCAAAGGACGTCGGGCAAAAATAACAAGTGAAAAGACTTTGCTGCACAGTTATATGTTCAGCATCCCAAACATTTGGTGGAGTAAATGACAATCGTACCAAGCTAGTGGGCGGTACGACCTCTCCATACGTTCGAAAAATCTGTGATAATACTTTTCCAGAGTCTCTGGGAGCCCTTTTAGAAGTTCCTCCATCCTAGCGGTTGACCAACCCGCTTCGAGGGCATCTATCATGAGCTTTGCCCAGATAAAACTACATTCGGCACGACTTCTCAGCGTCTCCAGGATACAAGTTTGGTCGGAAGGACTCGACCACTGAAGCTTGGAAACCTCTTCTGATAAGTACAAAGCGAGATCGCTCCTCGCGTAGCCATCAATATCGAGGCTAGGGCGTCCCTGGAGTTCCTTGATAATGCGGTCCCGGCGCTGGCTACTACACCAGACACGGACTTTGGTAGGATAGTCGTCTGCGAGCTTGATGAGAAAACGAAGCACTAATACAACATTGTCCCATGAACTCTTCATCGTAGTTTCTTCATCCAGACCATCGAGAAAGAAGTAGATTCTCGAATGTCCCTCAATTAATGCATTGATGATTTTTTGAGCCCTTCCAAGGGGAGATTCAGGCGCATGCATAAGTTTCTGCAATTCATCCGGAATTTCCTGCAGGCGCTGGCGGTATTCAAGCAGTTGTCGCGCGAGAATAGACAATGTCTGCTGTGGTGAAAGATGCTGCGCAAAGTCATAAAAGTGATAAATCACTACATTTGATCCTGATCTTTTGGCTAGGGATTCGATGGCGCTTGAACACAGTGTCGATTTCCCGGATCCAGGCGGACCATGGATCCACAAGATCGGTGATGATGAGGGATCGTTCTTCCATTGAAGAAATTTGTCATGGGAAAACAGCCATTGGCAAGTGATTTGGCTACGGCCACGTAAGTTCTCCTCTTGCCGTGCGAAACATAGATCATTCAAGGATTTCGAATCTGATGACAGCCAATCCGAGACTATGTCCCATTTATGTGCTTCATCCGACTCCCGCGGAGCTGCTTCATCCACATGACGGTACTCCCTCGACTCTTGCTGACCAAGTCGACCGGCGCAGTCTTTAATCTTCTCGGCGTCACAATGCATGTCGTTTATGATGCCTCCCAACTTCTTTGTGCTAAAAGGTGTCCCGAACTTGAGTCCTAAGCCTATTGTCAAATCAAGCTCGGTTATCATTACAAACATCGATCTGACCTGACTTAGTGCATTCTTTATCAACTCTATACCAGAACCGGATAACATTGATGTAAGCGTTGCAGAGGACCTCCTGCATGTCTGCGTTCTTTTGGTACAGGTCGCCATAGACAGTAATGTTCTTTAGATGACCACCGAGAGAATCCAACTCGCAGTGGATGTTTTCAAAGAGTCTCGCGCATTGACCAAGGCTCTGAAAAAAAGTAGAGTTGAGCAATGAGTATCACTAAAATTTACGTTCGACTAGAACTTGGCACTTGCATTGAGAGCAACCTTGAGACAGCCCCAGGCAATCGATGCGATAGGATCCAAGGTGGCTAAAACAAGATGGTCAATATCCAGGAGGGCATTTATGACGAGCACGGAATTCACTCAATGCATCCACAATACCAGTGAAACCCTCCAAGGCATCCACGAATGGGAGCAGGTACTTGCTAACCACCTTCTGGGATTGTTTCTGGTAATTCTGATTCTCCACCTCTGTGATCGCTTCATTTATGGCTATAACAGGATCCCGCCATTCTGAGGCAAACTGGGAGCATTTTTCGATGAATTTGACCTTCTTGGTCTGAGACGACTTGATGGTTGTGCGATACTCCTCCCAGGCCTGTTCAAAGGGAGTTTTCCTTGAGACCGAGAAGAGTTTAGTTGGTACATTAACATATCAACTTTGAACACGCACTCCTGGGAAGTTGTATTGTCTGGCTGATGCATGAACGTTGAGTGGATGTGACTGTTTACACAGATGTTCCTCATAGCCGCAACCAGCCTGGCGGTTATATACGTCTGGACTCTGTAGATACTAGACACAGGTCCTTCATGAGGCGCTTGGGTGACATAAGTGATATCACAAATCAGAGGCCTTAGGACTGGAGCACAGCCTGACGAGGTTCTCTAGAAGTATTCAAATCTGCCCGATAGTTCGTGAACCTGGAGCGTACCCTGGGGCCTGGGGTTGGAAATATCACATTGTAGTAGTACAACCCTCTTGGAACGTTCCCAATGGAAGTGCAAACAATCAATAACAGAACTTTGTATATACTTCCAGTGAGGAATTCGTTACATCATACGTACATGGAGCGAGGTGCGATATCACTGTGATCACTGGTTGAACGTTGAAGCGTTGAGGGAGCTATCATTGTGATCCCCCGCAGATTCTACTAGTTCCGGACCAGATAGTTCGATCAGCAAATTCAGATGAGCGTTCAATCAGCGCGCAAGGCTCCACTATCACCTGTCTGGACTCTGCAGGTCAGCTAAAGAATTTTAATGATAATGATGTGGCGTATCAAGCTTCCATTCATGTCACTGTGCACACAACTGAGCGATGAGCGTTCGAGCGTTCAACGGTGATCCGACATCAACGCAAACCCGACAATAGCGGTACAATGAGAATTCTTAGGCCTCACAAACTGAGGATCGACACCAGGTAGTACTAGTAGACTAATCGCGCCGCCCGAAAACAAGTCCATAAAAACATTCTGTTTGCGCATTAGATTTAATAGGTCAGGTTCGCCAAAAAGTAAAAGGTTTACTGTGGCTAATCACGAGTCCTTACTTGCCCAAATCTTCCTCTCGCCACATGGTTTCTATTCCAGAGCCAGTCGAACATGAAGCCTAATTTATAATGGCATGTGGTCTGCGATAATATGCGGTAGACCCTACAGAACAGACATCCAACCGTGTACTACGTGTTGAATTGTGCCCATTGAGTGGCGGGTAAAAACATAGCTAAGTGTCTAAATTCCAGGGCGTAGTAGTGCAATATAAAGTCCAATCAATGACATGTGGCCAAGTTTGGCCAGCTTATGCACTCTTAAACAAGAAGAGATATGCAAGAATAACAATCGAGATGTGTGCAACTGAGATTGAATCTGATCAGTACTGTTCGCAAATATCCTGTATGGTCCGAAAGTCCCCACAGGATACAACGAAGGCAAACTTACTGTAATGCACTGCACTTTCAAGTCGTATGCCAGCCGGGACAGCGACCCGCAAATCTGATTTATGCTCAGATGCCAAATAACTTGTGTTGTGGTGTTCCCGAGCCTTGTTCCATTCCTGCATAGAATCAAGCACTGTACGGATGTGTTCCACAGAAAGCGGTGTATTGGAATGTAACGAGAGGGAGAGAGAAGTTCCCACAGTGTTCTTGATCTATAATTCCGTTGGCGTTTATTTTAAACTATACGAAATGCAAGAAAGCAATAATCAACATACCTGACGACCGTTGAGCGTTTCCCGAGCCAAGGCATCGATTTCGGCCTCGCCGATTAAGGACTGGTTGGTATCCAATGTCTTATCAATGAATGTCTTCCAGATCTGTCTGCGCGAGACATGAGACAGCAGCGGGTAGTGCACCGTGAAGTGAATTCGGCCTGTTTTGCGATTAATTGAGGAATGCAAGTACAAAAAAGCAAAAGTACATACTCTCGAATGCAGCATCACACTGTGAGACCAAGTTGGTCGTCAAAAATATGATTCCCTGATAGTATTCCAGCTGCCGTAGAAAAATAGAGACTAAGGCATTCCGCTCCACATCAGTCTGCCCCCTCTGTGACAGAAAAACATCTGCCTCATCGAGAAGAACGACTGCTTTCCACCGTTGGGCAAGTTCCAGAATCTGAGTCAGACCGTCATCTACATGCTCAGGGCTGGACCCCAATTCGCCAGCTGAAATACAATACAAAGGACGTTTTGTCACCTGACCGAAAGTGGTAAGGGTACATGAAATCATGAGCAATGTCGAGAAATACCTCTGCTGCTGCTTCCGCTGTAAGTGTCTTACCACATCCAGGTGGACCTGCAAGCAATCCGACAAGGCCTTTTCCTTTCCCCTCTACAAAGTCATCAAAGTTCGACGCACGCGATGCGTGCTGCTCCACTAATGCATGGATCAATTCCTTGTGTCTGTTGTCCAGGACCAGACGATTGAAAGGCTCCAATGACCAGGATACGTCCCGCAGGCGGTCAAGAGCGAACCCACCTGAGACATATAAGTTTGTTATAGAAAGGTGCAGAACCAAGCATAAAAATTCCCGTACCCCACTGCTTTGTTCTGAAGCAAAAGCCCATGATAACAGGAGTGCAGATCATGTATTGCTCTTCCTCGAGTTCCGCTCGCTTCAACGGGGTAGAAACCGGGAGATTGAGACTAGAGTTAGGCTGAAACATACGAAATGCGCCAGGATCGATCATGACGCGCCCGGAAGCCTATATTGATTTGTTATAGGCCATACTATTAAGCAGGACTGGTTACTGTTGCTCACCCTGCATTTTCGAATATCCTTATCGTTGACGACACAGGCAGCCATCCCGGAAATCTCACCATAAGTCTGACATTGCAAGCTTGCAAATTTCCGACCTCGTGTGGCAACAAATTTGCGAATGTCGCGTTCATTCGAGTGTAAGGAGAGAGGAAAAACAGACAGGCTTTGTATCTTTCGCTCTCCTGTGAACGACGGGATCAAAAGCTCTTGTTCAGAAATTCCAAAATGCTCGCCGTCGTCAGTGATCACATGGCAATATATTGCAGCGAAGATTCCTTCAGCTGTTTGTACGATGTCAAAGCGCGTCACTTGGAGAATGTGGTCCTGCTCGGTAAACTCGTGGCGATTGAAGACCAGGATGCCATGACGGAATAATGTCCAAAGTAAATCGAAGGTGATAGACTCGTGTCTTGTCAATGACTGAAGGTCAGCGAAGGTGGTTTTGTGTTCCTCCAAGATAAAGTAAAGGGCTACTTCGATTTCAGAAATTAGCGGAGCGTTTGGCGTGCCTTTCGACCTTTCCAATTCTAGTCGTTCCTTGAGCTCGTTGAAAGAAAGAAAGAGCAACTTCGTGTCACACTGAAACACATAATGAGAATTTTATTGCAATGTTAAAATATGTGATGTTTAGCTTACGACAGGGGAACTTCGTGAGAGTTCTAAGCCCTCCACACCTTGGTGTATCTCCATAAGCACCTCGCAAAGTTCTTGACTTCGGATGTCAATTTCAGTCCCTGTGTATCGGCCTCTGTCGTCTATGACTCGTCGGATGACAAGGACTGGTTTCTTTTGATTCAGTCTCTTGAGGTGTTTTGACTGTTTATCTGTGTTCGTCTTTTTGTAGACGGTTGTTGACAATCGCCTGGAAGAATTGTCAAGCTCAAACGCTAAAAATTCCGTTCTGGAGATGCTCACGGATCGAAACTGTAAAGAAGATTGATACGAAGAATTGGGATGATACGGAAGAACTCACTACTCGTCATAACGAGCAATTCGTGCCTCCAAAGGTACTAGCGTTGTTGTTCCTACACCAGACTCCATACTAGACATGATGCAGAAAAATACAACGACTTCTTGTGGATCGAGAATGACGCAGTGTACCTTAGCTTTATGTATGTGAGAGTAGCACAGGTAGAAGACCACATGTCGAGTGCCTGGACACTGCATAGAATCTTACAGACCCTGTCAAATTTAAATGCCCTCCATAGATGTCGGATCAAGTGGCATGTGATAGGTGAGTGATATGTTGCAAGAAGGGGTGATAAGTAGCCTCCATTAGTCCGTCATAGTTGCATCATAGCCTTATGAGGTCCACCTCCTGCACCTAATTCCAGTCGAAGACGTCTCGACCTTACTTGCAATGGAGATACCCCGCATGTCCTGTGTATTCTATAAGGGTCAGACCGTAAAGAACGACACAATATGTACCAGGATTCCGTTGACGATCACATATCTGTATAACTATTGCACGTATTGCAGCTACATTGCAACGGGGTTATAACGTAGGTGGACAAATGGCGGGTGCTCGTAGGCGATTGCAACGATGGCGAGTAATTTCATCAGTTGGAACTTGATTGCGAGCGCTTGGCAAAATCCGGAGTTTTCCCTGATGTCTGGACTCTGATGGAACTGTCGTTTGGTGCCTAACGTAAACGCACCGATCCAGGTTGCGCCTTCTCATCGAATAAATAGAAGTAAATAGGATACTGGGCTTAGTCACCTTGATACTTCCCCACAAGCTTTCCCATCTCCTCAAAGACGATGATGAACCAGTACGAAAAAATGTTCGCGGAGTGATGGACAGCGAGTGAATCGCCCCTTCGCATAACACGACCATCGTTCCGGAGCGCGAGATCGCAAGACTAGGCATTCTATTGTGAACATGACTGCAGGTCAGTCATCAATGCATCACCCTCATACGTGCGAGTATCACATTAAGTCTCCGGTATCTGACCGGGACGCCCGGTGCGTAATCATAATGAGCTCGAAGCCCCTGCCTTAATTTACGTGGCAATCCCAGCTTTCATTGTGACTGCCTTATCCAAGACAAGTCCCGCCATGTCTTCGCAAAATTCATTGACTAGTGCCAAACCATTCCATTCCGTTTCTCATGACTACGAGGATCTCTATCGTAATGCTGAACCCTGTGATTTGTCCTGGATGTTGCAGTCTCCACCGCCAGGACAAGTGCACAGGGTCAACATTTAACACTGAATATATCTGCATTCACAATGTAAACCTTCGCTAACACTGGTCTTCATACACCAGGTTCACTGCCACTCAAGACGAAGATGGTACATTGTTTTTACTTGAGATGAAAATTGATTTATGAGGTTGCTGGTCAGTTCATCAGACGATGCCTTCCAGCTTACGATAACGGGGTTGGGAAAGTCCAAAGATGTAGCATTATGGCCATAGAAGGGTATCGCCATGCGTGCATAGCGTCGTCGCACTGATCAGAAGTGGCGAATGGACGATAAGGATCATGCCTTCTGATGTCTTAATATCATAGTATTTGCTTGGTAACTCGGCGGCCGAAGCTTTGTTCATTTTATACTGACTTGGTGACCAAGAATTCGGAAAGGTCCACATTCGAATATCGTTAGCACGACAGACCTCAGAATATAGTCTATCTGAAGATGCGCATAAATATTGCCAGTGGTGGACTGGAGCGCTATCTCTACATGGCGAAGTGAACACAGGATATCGATGACAGATGGGACCCCCCTTAAAAGACAGAATGAAATGGTGCGCAACTCCCTCAGCTTCAACCCTAACACCCACTAATCATTGGTGATTAAGCACTGAGGACGTCTGAAAAGTGCTTCCCATGAGTGATACTCCAGGCTCTTCAAGCTGACCATCTGCTTACCAATGATTTTGAATGCCTGGAAGGTTCTGTTGCGCATTCTCGAAATACGCCCAGCAGCAACAGCATGCATACGTTGTCCCGAAGCTGCCTTGTGGGTGAGGACTGAATTGCTGTTAGCAAGCTGTCCCATAAGCAACGCCTTGTGTGCTTCTATTGACGACTCATACAAGGGCTGGACAGGGCCATAATGGCTTCGTAAAAGGTGTTGTCCATCTCCGCTGCAGACGATGCATCATCGCATGTTCATGTGACATGCTCAATCCGACTATAGTGTGTCGATACTCAGGTTGTGCGATATGAAATATGAGGATTCAGGTAGGATGTAGACGTCTGGTAGAGATGTGTATTTGAGAGGGTGGTGGTAACATCCATGATACGTCTTGTCAATTTTAACAGGGACCCCTTTAGAAAACAACCAAGTCCGCCTGCCGCCTGAAGATAGGTACTGCACCATAACCTGTAAACGTCCTGGAATATTTTGATGACACTGAGTTCAAAACAGACCGGAGGATGCGTGCAGAGACTGCAGAGTGGAAAGGAAGTGCAGCATCCTTCCGAACTTGAAAAAAAATCTACGTCCCCGACTCTACGAAGTAGGGAGGGTTCTGTCAGCTCCAAACGTCCATACACCTGTATGCAAATGTGCGCGTGAAGTTTTTTCCTTTTCCTTCCTGGGAGGTGGGTTTTGTCAGACACCGTTGTGCAAAATTCTGTTGTGGGAAAGTGCTGACCAATGGACGGTCCTTGTATTACATTGACTAACTGCCCTTAAGTTCTGAGCCTTCTCAACTCTGAATCACTTCCTCCACGTCTAGTGCTGGCCCCAGAGCTACTGCCATGTGCACGTACCTGGGTATGTGAGACAGTGAAAAGCCAGTTTGAGACCCACCAATTTCTGTAAACTAACTCAGAACCGGTGTGAGTCCTCTGATTACCCAAACCATTGAACTTGTTCTTTTATACTCGCCCCGTTCACCAAGCATACGCATAGTATTTATATGTCATCCACGACATATTTCAATATTATTGGGCTAACGGAGTTGGGGACTGGCGCTCGCCGCCGCTACGATTATGTAATTAAATGTTCAAATGGGCTGAAGCCTGAAATTGCAGAATCACGTCTTTCTCACTGGCAGTGAATTGGATCAGGTTTCTGCTATCCAGGTTCTGTAATAAAATCCTGCAGGACATCCATAGGTTACTTCCAGACTTCCCCTGCAGCTACTTACTAACCGATACTAATTTCCTGCGTAGATGAATTCATGATATGATATCTCCACACAATGAGCCCCGGGCCTGGTTATATTACAAGCAGCTAACGTAGTTGCCACTTCGAAGCCTTGCTATTGTTCGCCTCTATGATATTCCAAGTGTAACGTTATGATGCTTCTACTACTGACCACCATATAAAAGGGCTCAGGTACTAGTAGGAAGTATGTCATCGAGAAGATGATTCCCTCCAGATCACTTTCATCTCTTCTTACCTTACCGGCGCTTGCCTTCTTCTCTCTGCCAGCGAGCGCTTTTCCTGATCCTCGGACAGCGTCAAGCACGGCTACTCTCAAGCTCGCCGTTAGAATAAACTCGTATGGGACCAAGAACATCGCGACTGCAGATAGAGCTCGAATCCAAGCTCTACAAGCTGGCGGCAGCTCTTCCATCAGTGCAACCAATGATGTGATGATATACACCGCTGACATCGGCGTGGGGAGTCCAGCAACGTACTGTAAGCTGCTCATGCCTCTGCCATTTCTTTATCTGACGCATTATCAATTTCATACAGACACAGTCCTAGTAGACACAGGAAGCTCAAATACCTGGATCGGGGCTAACAAAGCTTATGAGAAGACTTCTACAAGCCAGGACACAGGCAATACATTCGTGAGTATCTGTTCTTACGTGGCACATACATTTGATCAAACCGTTTCCAGAGTGTTCAATATGGCGATAATAGTTACGTTTCTGGAGAGGAATATACGGACACCGTAACGCTCAACTCTGACCTGGTCATTGATAATCAATCTATTGGCGTCGCATCTAAATACTCAGGGATGGGTAACCTGGATGGACTTCTTGGCCTTGGACCAGTTGATTTAACTGACGACACTGTCAGTAATACAGATGAAGTTGCAACTGTGACGGACAACCTCTATAAGCAGGGAACAATCAGTTCGGAAGTACTCGGAGTGTTCTTCACGCCTGCTTCCTCTGATGACAGCAGTGGCGAGCTCACATTCGGCGGTTATGACGCCTCCAAGATTACTGGAGACGTCAGCTACGTGCCGATCACATCGCAATCTCCAGCGAGTGAATATTGGGGCATCGATCAATCCATCAGATATGGGTCTACGCCCATTTTGGATGAGACCGCTGGTATCGTCGATACCGGAACCACCCTGATTCTGATTTCCTCCGGTAGGTATCCTATATGACATCAAAACCCTTCTAATCCACCATTCAGATGCCTTCGATAAATATCAGTCTGCCACGGGGGCGACCTTCGATGAGACCGTTGGCTTGTTACAAATCTCATCCGACCAGTACACAAAGCTTTCATCCTTGTATTTCACTATTGGTGGGGTTACTTATGAGCTCACCCCGAATGCGCAAATCTGGCCTCGGTCGTTGAACACCGCTGTTGGCGGTACCACCGACGGCATATACCTGGTCGTCGGTAGCACTGGGAGCCCCAGCGGTTCTGGCTTGGATTTCACGAATGGCTATTGTTTTCTGTACGTTGAGCTGCAATTTTTTTGCCGAGAAAATAAAATACTAAGTTGTTCTTCCATAGCGAGCGGTTTTACTCGGTGTTCGACACGACAAACTCCCGAGTCGGTCTCGCCACCACTGCATACACCGATGCGACAACAAATTAAATCCCTCTTTTCGAAAAACTACCGTTCTATTCGTATCAGCATATTTATCCGACGTACCTTACTTGTTGAATGTGCATTGCATGAATGAGATATCGTGTTCAGACGGACAATCGAATACCGGTAGAATCCTAATGGGATGTCTCCTTGTGAGTGAAGCAAGTTTTGACCCAATAATACCGTCTTCAAAGTTTATGTTCTGCACCGAGCCTGTAATTCGGGTTGCCACGCAACGATCACGCTGCGAGAAAAGGCGCACAACCAAAACCAAGTATACATTGATTGACATGTCTAAGTCCTCTAAACCTCCCCGACCATCTTGATAATGTTACCTCGAATCATGTTGCGTTCATTGCACCTCCAGAAATCTGCCAGAATCTCTGCCAGTTTTGTCGGACCGTCCTAATTTCACGTCAACATACATGAGTAAACGTTCATCAAGTAAGCGATGAACCTCGTGCACGAGACGTCCCACACCCGAACCAGCCATGACTTCCAGCCAAAATTTGCGCTGCATCTGACTGACCGTGAGTGTCGTATCACGGCGCTCTGCA